CGCCACACCACACCACAGCCACACCACAACACCACACTACACCACACCACGCTAGCTACACATGTTGGTTCGCAATGGGTTGTCTTTGTTTACGCTATTGACACGGCCTGTCACCTGTCGGTCTAATTATATTTTTTCGAACAGTTCATCGTATAATGGCAGAACCTCAGGAAGAAAGACGTTTTACCTCGAAAGCTATGGATGCCAAATGAATTTTAGTGACGCTGAAGTAGCCCATTCAATCCTCAAAGACGCTGGCTTTGAGAAGGTCAATGACCTCAGTAAAGTATGGCCCCCTAGAAATTAGTTCTGACACATTGTACTTAAGGCGGACACAGCGCTTTTGCTTACTTGCGCTATTCGTGACGGCGCCGAAGAAAAAGTTTGGCGGCGAATGATGCACCTCCGCTCGTTTACAAAAAGCAAGCACAATCCGCCATTGCGAATAGGTGTTCTTGGGTGCATGGCAGAGCATCTAAAGGAAAAGCTCCTAGAGGGGCGTGTAATGCGTGACTCCGTTGTTGCCGCAGATTTCATTTGCGGTCCTGACGGCTATCGCGATTTACCAAAGCTAATTGATGACATTCAAGAGCGGGGCTTACAAGGCGCATCCCTAGCACTATCCTTGGAGGAGACATATGCCGATGTTAAGCCTATTCGTAAATTTGGCCCTTCAGCATTTCTTTCGGTAATGCGAGGATGTGACAATATGTGTTCCTATTGCATCGTGCCTTTCGTTCGTGGAAGGGAACGCAGCAGACCTCTGAAGTCAATTATCGATGAGCTGCATTGTCTGTCTTCAGAGGTATAGTTGATTTCACGTCTATGCATGTCCAAAGATGTAAGCAACCTGGATTCTGTATTAAAGGGAATCAAAGAAGTCATCCTTTTGGGACAAAACGTCAATAGTTATCGCGATCTCTCTGAGGGCGGCGTTTGTCAAAATCGAACGGCTGACACACTAGCTCCCGGCTTCACAACAGTCTACAGGCACAAGGTCGGTGGCCACCGGTTCATCGATTTATTGGACGCCGCAAGCTCTGTTGATCCGAACATGCGGATCCGGTTCGCGTCTCCGCATCCTAAGGATTTTAATTCTGACGTACGTGCCCTCATGTTTACGCAGTTTGACGCACGCGTAACTCGATTATAGCATTTTTTTCAAATTAGGTGCTCCATTTAATAGCTGAGAGACCAAATGTTTGCTCGCAGTTGCATTTGCCGGCACAGTCAGGCAGTTCTTCGGTTCTTGAACGCATGCAACGGGGCTACACCAGAGAAGCTTACCTTGAACTTGTTGATCGCGCAAAATCAATCATCCCAGGCATGTGTGCTTGTCTGTTCTACTTACCCAGTGTAGGTATCGCAATTACATCGGATTTCATCGCCGGATTCTGCAATGAAACCGAGGACGACCATCGTGAAACACTCTCTCTCATTGACTATGTTTCCTACGCCTATGGCTTCTGTTTTCCGTTTAGTCTTCGAACGGTAGGCTACAAAATCTCCCGTTTGAGTCGCCATTTTGTTAAATGCGAGCTAACCAACTCACAATTTTAGAAAACACGAGCATTTCACAGACTGGTGGACGACGTACCGGAGGACGTCAAAGCACGCAGGCACAACGAGTTGAAGTCCGCTCTACGAGCTTCGTCTCTTCGATTTAACGAATCCCTCGTCGGCTCGACACAACTTGCACTTGTAGAATCGGTAAAACGCCACTTGCACACAGCCCAGTTTACTAACTACTCAATTTCAGGTCAGTAAGCGATCGCCATTTGAACTTGCGGGCAGAATTGATGCAGGCGTGAAAGCCATCTTTCCCAAGTATTATCCTGACACTTCTGAGATTCAAATTGCGGATTACGTGGCGTTACGCGTGAGTCAGTCGTTTCATGGCATCTTACTGACACTAACTTGTTTTTACGCTTAATATTTGAAATTACTGCGGCTACTGTTCACATCTGACCGGAACCACTATCTGAAAAGTCTCCTTATGTTTAAATTTCAGATCGATTCGTGCACGTCTCAGACCCTCAGAGGCACACCACTGCGGAGGTCAAGCATCGTCGATTTTTATGCAAACACTCGCCTCCGAGATGAACTTTTGCCGTAAAGACTACCTTGCACCCCTCTAATTCCATTGTCAGAGTGTCTTATTTAGTAGATGCTTTGTACTAGCTTTCGTCTTCTAGACTCCAGGGAGAATTTCATTCTAACCCGTTAGAATTTTTCAATTATGTTGGTTTGATCTATGAGCGGCGATGAATGTGTAAAGTACGGTTCTTGCGTGTCACGCGTCGCCAGTACTTTAAAATAAAGTTTGCGGTCATCACGTGACTACGTCGCTAACGCCACGGCAGTCTAGAACCGTGTTTGAAGGCTTGAGCGAGAAACACGATCAGAGCCGATGAGGACTACCCGAGAAGTCAAACTTTACCTTTGTGGGGTTCAAGGGGTGTCGTGTACTCGACGCCGTTGTCACTATGCTCTGCCAGGGGACTTTCAGTAGATCCACAGCAAATGGTTGGTGTGTACAACTGTGAATTTCTGCCGAAACTACCTGTTTTCACGTGTGAGGTCAACTTCGAACCCTGAACTCGCATGAAGCAAGACCAGCCAATCAACTGCGACTTATGGGCATATATTGTCGAAAAGCGACATGATATGAGAACCGGTGACAGAATATGCGTGCATCAAGTTGAGTGGATGACAAAAGCAGAAAGGCGATCGAAGCTGCCAGCGCGGTGTGAGGCACTCAGACGAGGAGGGCTTTGCGCGTGAGGGTGGAGTTGACGGTGACCATCTGCTTCATGCCGTGGGAGTTGCGCTGGCCCGTGTTCGACTCGTAGAGGAGGGCCACCTTTCGCGCCACCACCGTCAGCAAGGAGGCCACGTCGTGACTCTTGCCGGACTCCTTCGCCGCTTTGATGACGGCGCACAACTCCTGGATGAACCAACTGCCTGTCTGAGAATTGCGCCACGCGAAGTAGCCTACAATTTGCAGCCAAAAAGTGTAACAATTAGTGTGCGCCGGTAGGTTTTGAACCCCAGAAATTAGGCGTTAAGGTTTGTTTCGTCAAGAATTGCGCACAAATTGGTTGTAAATAGCGGAACTTGCCGGGAGCAGTTGAATTTGCGACAAAGATGTCAGCCTCGACAGGGAGTTTGGTAATGAGCACACCGCCTTCCCCCGCGTCGGTGGACATGGTGACGCCAGGGTCGAAACGACTACCTCGACACGCCTAAAAAATCGAGCAAATTAAGACAGAAGCATCGACTATGAAAATCCAAATTATATGTATTCTACACCAAAGGCGATTGGTTAATTAACACTGGCGTGATTAGCGTTGATCAGTGTTGGCGCCAAACAAATTTGTGGTTGGCATGGGAATGGAACTTTCTCTGGCGGTGCTAAGGCCGTAAAAATCACATCATTTATGGCTGACGCGTTGGACAAAAACGGACAATCCATAAATTGTTGCGACGGCCACTTGAATGATGCTAGCGACAATTTCGCTGATCGACTCACCTGGATGAAGAAGATTTTGGGTTTTCCAGCCAGCGATGGACACCTGTCGGAGCGGAAGTAGCTGACGAACTTGTCGGCGGGAATTATGCCGTCAGCGGCGTAGATCACGCCGTCCGAGCCGTGACTCAGGACAACGCAGACAAAGCTGTCGTAGATGGAGTGGTTTTGGGAGCTTACTAAAACGCAAAACGCCACACTAAAGGATCGTCCGGACAAGTCAGCGTGAATTATCTTCAGTCAGCTGCATACGATAATTCGGGGAGTTAGTAGCATTTTCTAACACACGTGCACTCAATTACCGCCATTTCTTCGACATTCGTTAAACTGGATTCGAGTAACGCTTCGGAACGTCATCAAATGCGAATTTTACGGATTTGACAAGCAGTGGCCTACCGTCATCAAGGAGAAGCTCCATCTTCCGCAAGGTCAGATTAGTCGCACGTTCCACGGCGTAACCGCAACGAATGAATGTCCTCTCCACCATGTCAGCGTCCACGTCGGTGCCGTCGCGTCGCTCCTGTCCAGTCTTCGCCAGATCGAAGTCGCGCTGGTTGATGAGGAGGCAAATGCCGCGGGGGTTCTTGCGATGATGCGGGTTAGGCACGAGGGGGTAGGCCAAGTCGAAATCGTTGAGCTCCTCCTCACTCAGGTACCGCTTGTTGCCGGCTTCCTCCTTGGAGGCAGCACTCTTCGAGAGGGTTGGCGACGCACGAGATGCCGCGATGCCACAAAGCGTGGGTGAACTGCTGCCTGGAGACGAGGATCTACGAGGGAGACGCAAATAGTCGTCAAACTAACACATTCTGGTGGGTAAGAGGCAAGGTTCAGCCTCCAGCTACGGCATACACGCTGCACGGTTTAAACTAAGGCGCGTTTTAGTACTTCTTAAACACACAGAAGCAGCAGCTGTTCGCACAGAATCGGTGATGACGGCCTGAGAGGTGGTGAGACGTGACTGGTGTCATCGATGACTCAATGAGTAATAGCGTGAATAGTCAGTCGTGGGAGCAGTCGTGGTGTGATGACTGTTTGGAACAACAACCATTTAATAATAATACCCAAAGCGGTAATGCAGGAACCCGCGGCACAAAATTCGTGCATCAAGGCACAGGGAATGTAAATACACCAAACCAAAAACGATCGACAGTTGCGGTAAGTATGGACTTGAGTGCTGCGTTTCTCTCGAAGCGATAAGAATTACGTCTACGTCCAAAAAGCGATGAAGTGATCTACTTGAAAACACGCACCCGATTTGAGGGAAATGCAGCAAGTGACGGAGTTAACGTAAGTTGTCCTTCTTAGGACCAGTAATACGATGATATTACTTATATGTAGCAATTTAAGGAACAATCAAACAGCACCACTAGCAGCTGTGCAAATCTGCCATCGACAGCGACAAGAAGCCCAAACGAATGTCTGAGCAAAGAGGGATTCCACGTCGTGAAGCCATGGTAAAGCTGACGAGGAGTTAGTTTTGAGTAACTATAATAGTGAATATGCTGTTGTGGTTAAAAGAGATAATAGCACAGACAGGTATCTGCTAAAATACGCTACCGTTTCTAATGGGAAATGTTACATTAAGTTGGCGAGATCATATTCAGTGAAGTGGGGGCTGTCTGTGGTTCGTTAACATCATAGAATAAATATACGAGACGCTAGGTGATACGCACACCGTAAAGGAGGTGGTTGACTCTACGCCAGCAGAACTTGCACTTGGTACAGCTATGTGTGTGACTAGTGAAACGGTCGCAAACTCTGATCACACATTTGAGTTCCTATCATCCTGCTTCTACCAAACCCAGCCAGCTTGCTTTATTTCCCCCTGTCCTCGTCCACATTGATTGCCTCAAGAGGCCTATATACGACCGCCTTGCGGTGCCCAAATTAAGACTGCATGACACGCAGACAGGATGCTGTAAGCGTAAAATACCTCGAAGTTGGTTACACGGATGACAGCAACGACTAACACACATTACACTCTTCTGTATTCCCACCTTGCCCCTCCACCCGTTTTGGCAGACCTCTCAAATCCCAAGTACACTTTACTGAATCAGTACAATAAGAACTGAGCATTTAGTGTGTCCCACAGCCAACACTCTCGAGGAGGGATATTTTTAGTGGATCGTCAGCCAACGACCATGAGGGAAGTTTGCCGGTGAGTTGATCTGAAGTCAATGACTCACCCCCATACTCATTGGTCGCCTCTCTGGCCTCTGTTCTCGGGTTGTTACAGCCCGCTAACTAGAAGGGTTTTATGGTAGTGCAAGCTAACCACCACAGGTCCACGGGTCTAGGATCGTCGCATTAACCTTCCAACCCCTGTCTAGACAACTTCAAAGAGCAAGCATCCAGAGTATGACTTCTACGGTGTACACCAATCAACCCGGAATTAGTTTGATTGAAAACATCTCCAGTCGCCAGTCTTCGAGCGTCTTGAAAGGAAAGCCGCGTGATTCCTTCAAACTTCGTCGAAAACCAGACATTAATAGCGCCAGAAGGGCAGGGCCTTTTGCAACTCCCGTTATTGCGAAGGCGTGTTTATGGCGCATTAATCATTCACCTTACGATGTGCAATAACGTTCACAAGCAGTGCGTCCACAAAACTCAACTCTGTCCAAAGCAGACCAAAGCGTTGGACAGGCATTTGGATTGTCTAAGTTATCTGCGAGTTTTCCAAATAAATCTTATTGAGTACGTCAAATTTTCGACACACTTAGGTAGTGTACAGGCCGAGTTTAGCTGAAACCAAACCCTGGATTTATAAACGCATTGATATGGTAAATTAGGTACCAGAAAAAAAATGAATGCAATATTCACGAACAAGCGAATGCTGCTACTGTACCAACGTGATACTGCAACCGGTGTACCTAATAATTTATTCGCCTGATTTGTTTAAATGAACGCTTGTTTAACCGAAGGAGGTTAGTGTGAAGAATTTCCTAAATCTTTCTTTGTCGCTCGCGGCAAAATCGTGACGGTTTACAAACTGCCGTGTAAACGTCCAGACAGTGAACTTGGGCAAAAGTTCATTTATCATGGGTTCATTTGAAATACAGTAAGCGGGAAGTGCCACTGTGTCAATGCGAACAAACACGTGCACTTGATTTGTTTAAATGTCTGATTGTTTACCTAAAGGCAGCAATTTACTAAATCCACCACTGGCGTTCAGAGAATTTGAGATAAACGTCTGGGACACCGAGCCGTCGAAAATCAACCCACGAAATTGTCTACCATTTTACCTTTCTGAATATTCACCTAAATTGGTTTTCGAGCCAATCACGCACAGCTTCGAATCCGTCAAGAAGGTTGGCAGTTCAAGGTACACCACGAAATTACTTGGGGCGTTAGTTACAGGAAATTAAATACATCAGACATGAACTAGGCAAAGCACTTAAATCTAACGAAAAATAAACACGTATAACAGCTACTACTTACCGAAAACCAAATCTGGAAAGTGGTAAAAAGGAAACAAATTAGTTTATATTAGTCATTGGCGCGTCTCTTGAGAAAACCTCGTAATATATTAGCCGCGATGTGATTGGCAGATAGGATTTGTTTTAATTGACAAGAAAGCTCAATGCGTGTCAGCGAATGCATTGAACTTTTGGGACAGACACGTCATACCTGACGTACCGCAACCAAATTACGGAAGGTGAACATTAAAAAGACCGTCTTTCTTGTGCCATCTGTTTCGCTGAAGGGAACTGCATTTCAAAGAAACTGGACAGCCTTCTGTAAACCATCCACGGTTGGAATTTGACCCCGATAGAAAACAACCGAAGAGGATTAACCGCAATGGGAGATTTTGCAGGGACGTCCAACTTGTTGACAATTGTGGTTCCGTTTTAGTTGTTGCCAGCTTCAGTGGGGCATTCAGAACTTTGGTCATCTTCGAGTTATAAATTGCAGAGAACTGAATTTCCCATGACATACTTTGACATAAGCGTTCTGTTAGTCGGTTGAATGATTAAAATACACGTACCACCCTGTGGGACCTTAACTGTTTCCTCGCCGCAGGTTATGCTCTTGACAACACAAAATTTACAAATGGCGTCTTATCCCGGCTACCTTACCGTGTGATGGCTACATCAATTATCCACCCACCCTGCCAAAAGCCTGGCAATTTGCGAATCAGACAGATGGTACAAACGCGTAAACAGATCCGGGATTCCAGATTTCGTAGTGCAGAATAAACAGAATGTGGAATTAAAAACAAATGATTTTACTGGAATTTAGCGTATTTCGAAAACGTTACGTATTAAATTAAAAACAAACATTTGACAAATTTGACAAGACGTCGACACAATAACGTTATTGTCAGTGAATTTCGGCCCAATGAGTAGACGAGAATTCGTCCCACATTGTTCACAATATTTAATAACGAACATTTGAAGAAATTAGCAAATAGACACTTAATTGACGCCACCAAACCAAGTATGCTTTAAAATTTCCCAAATTCGCGTTTTACTTCCGTCAGCATAGGACTACACTGTAGCGAAAGTAACAACGAGGCGATAAAAACTGCCCTGCCAACAAATGACGGCAATAAAGAGGCAAAAACAACTCGTGGATAACTCTCTCTCTGTCGGTCAATTTCAAAGTCGTCATTTACAATGAGATAAAGCGCATTACAGTTTCGACAGTACCCTGCATTATCAACCTCAAAAAACGGTCTATAAGGGTAGACCTCTAGGAGTCAGTCCAAGATCGGGTAGAATCCAAAAAAAATGCAAAGTAGCTAGTAAATAACTAAGGGCTGTGTACACCTACACGAGATGACATATTGTCGCTGCCGCATACCTTACAGCATTCGAGCAATCAATGTTAATTTCTATTTCAGCCGAAAATACAAACGCCTCGAAAACATGCTAAGCTGTACAAATATGCGAACAAATCAAACGAAATTATTACTCGAATTTTAAAAAAATAACGCACACATAAACGCACGGTGAAATACGATGTTGGCTGTGAAACGATAAAAAGCCCTCGTTATGCCAGAAATGGCAGTACTCGTTCGTGGAAAAAAACAGAGATATTATCAACCAGCGCACGGTAACTGCGAAATTAAAATCTAATAAAGTGGTGATAATAAAAAAAACCGCCCAAACCGTGTCCAGGTTAGCCAGATTGACAGCCATTGGCTACTTTGCGCGGGGAGCAACAGTTGACCTTTGGCCACACAGAATGACTGATGTCTGACTAGGCGGGAAGACGACTTGAGTTCACCGAGTGGAAAAACTCGCTTTTTTGTCTGAGTTGCGAGTAACCATATTTACTCTCGCAATGACGCCCCAAGTGACGATTATTGCGCACAAGACAAAGCTACATCAATATGCAAAGTGTGCATTCCATCCATTGTGATAAGGAATGCATTGTGCAATCTTGGTGGGCAATCAAACCCAGACAGACGTGCATAGACAAGGCCTGCCTGTCCAGCCACTTTTTGTCCAACATATGCGAGATTGTGATAATGCATGGCGGTATGTCAAAGGCTCCCATTGTCCTACGCTTTTGTCGGAGTTAAACACGAAAATTCGTGTTTCAGCGGGCAGCTGTTATCTGCTGATCGAAATTGCCTTGCCCCCCCCCCCAGTTACCAGCTTACGACAACGGTCACACCAAGTGAAATCAGAGACAGCATGCTGGGAGGTGAATCGTGTAACTACACCCCATACAACTTAGTTTGGTCGTCTGTGTTCTTGCATCGCCTCTGATAGCCATAACTGTTACTTTGAAGATGTTAAAATTTGCCAAGGTAACTGAATTAGCGCTGAGATTTGCGAATGCCAGCCACACAGCTCTGCTCACCCGATTACAACGATACAGATTTGCAGAGGCAAGAGATTTAGCACTACCTTACAACCCTCCAGCTAACAGCCCGTAACTACCCGAGGAAAGGGGAAAAGCGGCGATAGAGAACACGGGAGAGAGTTGACTGAAATGCTGTTTTCCAAACAGAGGTGTACAGCAATAGGGTCACTCATTGTTAACAGATGAGAGGGTTGTGAAAAATTCGACGGATATCACCAATAAACGGCGTCAAAAATAAAGTGGTATCATCATGTCGGGATAACCAAATGTGTAGTAGCCGGATTTCATCGCGTTGGGGTCACCAAATGCAGGGGCTAGAGGCTTAGCACTACCTTACAACCCTCTGATTAACAGCCCAAGACAACTCGAGAAGAGTGGAAAAGGGGCGAGAGCGGACACGACTGGTTTATTGGTGTCAAAATAACCAAGTGGCTTTGTGTGCGTTTGAGTACGCGCGCGTAACAGGCGACTGCTGACAGCGGCCAATGACAAAATGGGTGAGTCATTGATCCACTCGGGCCCTCATGCACGCATTACTCACCCGAGGTGGCTGTCATTCCACTACAGACTCAACAGGTGGCAGCCACGAATCGGGGTCTTTACGCAGTGACGCCCACGTGATCGCCTGGCTTAACCGAACACTTCAATGACCACGACGGGATCTAGGGTCGACGTCGTCAACGGCAAGAACACTGGTGATAGGGGGGCAACCAAGACGTGCACAATCGCTATATCATGACGCAATGGGGCATTTTTCCGGGTTGAGCTGATAAAAACAAAGAAATGAGAACCGAGAGGGGAAACGAGAATGGACTTTGACAGCAGACTACTTGTCAATGACCACGTGTACTTTAGGCTCGGGTTTTTTAATGAAAAACTGGCAGAAACTGGTGTAAAGTGATTTTGCACTACTTGAGCGTCGTCATGACACCAAAAGTGTTTACCGAAATGGTACTTGTTGACACCCACGACCGACTATTGCGTCGAAACAGGTGACAATCCTGTCGGTGATACATTTCTGTTGGGTCAATTCAATATTAAAATAGCTTGTTGGAAAGCAGCATCAGCGAATAACTTAATTGTCAAAAGTAGAATAGTTTTGCGGAATCTAAGACCACATTGATCGAGTTTGAGCGTGATCAGGAAAATTTGACTAAATAGTTAATTTTAAGTGAAAAATTCGGACCTGAGAAATCCCATTGGTGCAAATCTAGTGGCTAATGCGGTGGGCACGCCCAAAAAAGAGAGCTTCAATAGAGGTGCCATTGACAAAACAATAACATAAAACTCGGCCTGGTAGTTTCATCGCGTGTTGGTTACAAGCCGTTTTCCACTACCATCAAAAATAGTAGCACATTAGCAACCTGTAGATGATTTGCCGACTAGCTGATGGGTTAGCAATATGGTTCCCACAAAAATACAGGGTAATTTTTGCTTTCAGGGGCTTTGTGCCGGCAGTTTGAATTATTTCTTTTGACATTTATGCAGTTTACAGTGTTGACTGGCGGCCAGGATGCACATGCCAGGGTTGTTTACAGAAATTCAGTTCCCGAGAGTTATCCCTTAATTTTGGCTGAGTCAGATTTGAAACAGACCGTGGTCGTAGAACTGTGCGATACGGCTGAGGCGATAGGTTGAATGTATTACTGACGAAAAACGGCAAGTCATAGGAGCATTCAAACGAATAAAATTGAAAGGAAGCAACTGAACCAATCGGTATTTGTGGTGCTGGCCTTGAAACCAATAAGGAAAATTGATGGCAGAAAGCGACATCAGCCAAGAAACTTCAGTTATCGAACCATGAGAAACCAACACAAACGACATCGACCAATGCCACATTAATATGCCGTCTATATGTCTTAATTGTTTCACTAGTTGTTACTTGAAAACCCTTGACCGAAAACAATTGTAGTAGATTTACATCAGATAGCATAAGCGCATGCGACTTGCGGTGTAATGATAGTAAACAGGATGTAGCTGAAGGAGTGATACGAGTGGAGCTGAAACGCAACAACCACGCTTTCAAGGGGCGCATGACTGTTGATTTTGAGCGGATTTGAGCCAACCAAACTCAAAGATTGGTAGGCATGGGAAGTCTTCTACGAAATGCCAGTATAGCGACACCCCTGAATGCGGAGATTACGACTACTACCGTAAACGCTAACAGCACAAATATTTGAGTAATAAACCTTCAGATTGCAGCCAAGAGCAAGTGGGAATTTCAAAACATTACGGTGGGAAGTTTGGCAGATAAGGCAGAATATTAAAACACTTCAAGCAAAGAGCCTAGAGTAACACACTGCACGCATTGGCACATCCAGAAATTTCAAGGGTGGGTAGTATTCGACAAAAAAGGGAATTTTTGGGGGTTTAAAACAACAGACATTGGGCAAAACGTGGGGCACGGATAAAAGAATCGCTAGATACGCATAGAAAATTTGGTATATATTATGCTAGCCAGATGCACTAAGCTAACATGAAAACAGCAAAGACGTCGACACAAGTTACAGAGTCTATCAATTGAAGAAAACTTACGAAATGAAACGTGCGTCTCCGTCGTCACCCTTGAGTGACATGTCGGCCATTAACTGAGAGGGCGGAATCTCGGTTTCCATTTTTGCTGCTGTTTGATCTACAAAACAAATTATTTGAAGGATGTGAAGACAAAATCGCGAACAAGGACGACTACACCTTCCTTTTTATCAGTTGAAACCAAACAATCTGCGGGAATTCAACCCCTTATCTGCAAATGTACGTTAACAAATGCAATCTGCAGGCTTGCGTGAGCATTTTATTTTGTGTTAGTGAGGGGTAAAACATTTGTTTTTTAAAGTAGGAGACAGACGGATTGTTTTGGGTGGACGACCAAGTGGGGAATTTGTTACAGCCGCGGCTGGACGTGGTGCCCTGTATGAAGCAAAACTTGGAAGAGCCGAGCAACTAAAATACATGATACGCTCTGCGATCAAATATTCAATATTATACTTAAAAAAATAATGCAACGTTTGTCACCATTTGCTTACATAGAACTAACATCCTGACAGCTTTTAACACGGAAGTTTAAAACAATAAGTTGACTTAAATGTGTGCTGAAAAACGTGCTGGTTGAAATTCAGTTGTAAAATTTTTCTAAGAGATTCAAGTTTTGATAGCACCAACTACACTTCACACACTGAATTGCCAATCGCAGCGATAGTCTTCATTTACAACAGATAGGAATAAAACTAGCTACTTGAGTGTTTTAAGGTACTCACAAAATAAAGAAACCAGAACAAGAATTTGAAAAATTAAATACACATGAAATTGATTCCCGCTGAGTTTCAATAACTTTCCTAGAGGCCAAAATTTGACCAAACGTAAATAAACAAGCAGATTGAAGCCATCATAAAACAATGCATATAGTAGACAAGAAAATGAAAGAACCTTGGACCTCTCGATGACCAAAACATTGGACAAGCACATCAACTACCCAAGCTTCAAGTAAAGGAACTTGATTTGGTCGATGGATGGGTGAGGAAAACCAAGGAATTTAAAACTGCATTAGCGTCAATAACAATTCATTGGGTGATGCAATACTAAACGTATACACATTCTTCAGGCAATAAAAAGGCCAAAATTCATGCATGATGTACATGAAACGGTAACAGCTGAACAATGATTATGGGAAAATAATACTAAAACCGGGCTACCAGAGGTATATAAGGGGCATCAATCAAATCAGGTAATCAACATTATGAGTGACCTCGAAAAGTATTTAGAGATAAATTATATCTATAGCGAAGATTCAAAATTAAAACATATTGAAAAAATGTATTGTAAAAATAAAGTGAGCAGATGCAACAACTGTTTCAACTGACCATTCACCATAAACGCCCGAATCACACATAAAGCGCGGGCGAACCCAGGCACTTTAAATATGAGAGGACAAAGGGCTCAAAAGGTGTGGTAATAATGACTTATTTAAACAATAATCATAAGCTGGTAATATTTTGTTATATCTTTTGAGCTAAAACACATTTATTTTTTAGGGGCCAGAACATGCGGACATAATTATTCTAATCGCCATTTTTTTCATTAGTGAAAAAGATTTGAATTTTATCTGAGAGCAAAGGAGTAAGGAATTTTGGATTGCACACATGCCTTAGCATAATACTCACTTTTTGGCAGTGCCTTTTTAAAAGCATGGTATAATCAACGCCAATGAGAAATAAACTTATTGCAGGTTCCATAAATTATTAAAAAAATCAAATCTTTAAAATGAGATTTGTTGGATTTTTACTTATTATTTTTAATAATTGTGACAGTCGAAGCTCTTAATTGCACCCTAATTTATTAGTTTTGTTTCGATAAATGTTTCTTTAATCATCACTCTGGAATATTCTGTGGTTAGGTTGGAAATTTGGAGGTGCTGTAATTAATAATTCGGCCATGAAAAAGGAGACTTTATAAACAACTGACCTTAAATTTCAAAAGTCCTGTTTTGTTGAATTAGTTGTCTATAGAAAATATGCTTGATTTTAAATATTAATTTGCTTTATTAATATTTCAATTGATGCTCTACAAGACAGAGTATCCTTTTTATAACTGCATCATAGTTTTAGCAAAATTGAAGAAATACTACTAAATTATATTTTGAGTTAATATATTTTAACTGTTCATGTGTTGAAGAAGAGAAGGTTAAAAAATTCCGCAACTGCCGATATCCGAAATTGTGCACTGTATATTACTAGTCAATTTGTCTAGTAATGGGTACTGTGATAATATTTGCATCCTCTAGTTACTTTACGAATTCCATGTAAGATAATTTCATTTTTAACTCAGTAGCGGTTAATTACCACAAACCATTTAGCTCACTTAGTACTAGACAGGAGGTAGAACTATTCACCAACAAGCCCTTAACGGGGACCAAATCTGCCTCTTTCCAGCCTTCATGAAAAAGCAAGGAATCCCGCGATAGCATTCACAGTTTATTTGAAATTTCATTTGATATTCAAGACCATAATCACCAGAAGTGAGTAGAAAATACAGGGAAGTAATGGCATGAATCGACAACTTTCCTACTTTTTCGACTGCCCCCAGAGCAGGCCCTTCATGAATCCGGTGATGCTAGATGCCGCGGAGTCCTTGGCGTTTTTGGGCTGCGGGGGGAAATTAATGTGGTTGAGTGCAAGATCAAAGAAGGCCGGTTTTACAGGAATTGGTTCGAAGTCCGGCGGGAATGGGACCAACGGCATCGGCTGAGTGGTCAGTTTCCGTAGAAGAATCTTATCGGGGACAAATTCTCCCAACGACTTGATAAGAGGCTAAAACACGCAGAACAGTGCATCAGTGTCAGGTGCTTTTACACCACAAACTCAAGGCCAGATAATGTACGCCTGGTAGAAACCCACCTCTTTAAGGACGACTTTCGAGATGCCTGCGGTCGATGTGGGATCGTCCACATTCTCAGTGCCGGCGTCGCCAGCAGCCCGTTCGAGCATGTAGCCGGCTTTGCAGGCAAGCACTTCGGTGTCAGCCTGTCTCACAAGGTCCTGCATTAAATCGATTAAGAAGGAACGCGTGTAGCCGGGTACTGCCTCCGCCTCTACACTATCAGACACTGAGTCGTCAGACAGCGCCGTGAGCGCGTCTTTTGTTCGGACGTGGCAGCGCTGGAGGAGAGAGTAGCTCTCGAGAAAACGGTGTGTTCTGAGGTAGGCGAGAGCCAAGTAGTAGCACCTACATATCCGAGGATAAGGCAAAGGTAAACATCGACTAATCCACAGGAGTTTCCACAAGACTCAACATCCACATTAGATCAAGCCTACCGAGCGGAAACGGCCTGCTCTCAAACACCACGTTACTCACCGAAGGCACTTAAAAGCCAGTATCTTCGCCATGATAAGCGATTTGACATCTGGGTTGTCCTGTATACTGCCAGGCAGGCTGTGCAACTCTTGGAGGTTTTGAACCACTGTGTCGTAGAGGCGCGAGAACTCATGGGGCTTATGGTAGCCCGAGGTAACGAGGCTAGTCGAATAGCGGTGCTCGGGAGCAACGTTTGACATGTACGTCTCCAACTGGTAGAGGGTGCGCCAAATGGTCTTGCTCAGCTTCAAGTACTGCAGGTAAGTGCTTAGGCGCTGCAGTCGAGGTAGCTGGGTGAGTAAACAAAAGTACGCAAGTGAGTTTTTCTACCAATAATTGCTGTGATCTCAAATAAGTAGAAAAATGCATTGGGCAATTCGGAACATAGACCATTCGATATACCTAAGAGCATCGAAACGATAAATGATTTTGTGGGTTCAAACACACTTGACTTGAAGAGTGAACAGCAACCGCCTATGATAATTCACATGACTAGGAATATCTAATCACTACAAGAAATAGCCAGATAAGACGACAAATTCTACCTGGATTTGTCCATTCTCAAGGGAACAAAAGTAAAATCTGCTGGCAAAATGGCTTAATTCTTAGCTACGGGAAATAAAATTTGAATGAAACGATTCCAGTTCACAATTCGAAACCCGCAATTGAGAGTTTCGGAATCTAATAACTGAACATTCTAGGGGGTAAGACTGGTGCTTTAAATGACTATATCAGATAACCTTTTCGACGCCCGCAGCGGCGGCCTTCTGATTGGATTGCGAGGGCAGAATGCCCACGGCGGCAACATCGGAGTTCGAAAGTGCGCGCATCTCATCCTTAAGGGCAGCGAGCGCCTCGACAATGACCTTGAGGGCCGACTCACATAGGGCAGCTTTGGTGTAGCTGGAGGCAAATTTCTTCAGCTCCTCGTCCGTTTCCTACAACGAAAAGAAGGAAAGTCTTTTGCGGTAATTTGGCGTTATGCTGTGGATGGCAGCAGACCTGAGCCGAAAAATAATAAAGCGACCGCCTTGAAATGCTTCCCATGTTTGCTAATTCACAAACTTACTGCCACAATCGCCTTCCCAGATGGCAAAATTCTACATTGCTGCAAAAAAATCTTCAGGATACATGTGAAGCGTCCAAGCATTGAATCCAGATGACAAATCAAGTGAACAATTTGTGCGTGAAAATGGATACACACCCGAAGTCCAGAAGTACAAACATAAATAAGAAATTATGAAAGAATATCCGATTGCAAACAGAGGGTGTTTAACAAACGATAATACCGCGTTAATACCTACTAAGCGATAAGTACGAGAATAATCTGGCGACATGTAGATTCGCCCCGCCACCTAAATTTACACGTAAATCACAGTTATTAATCTGTTTCATTGCTGTCACTTTAAATGAACCCGCCACTTCTAGCATCACGCATTTTTACACCAATACATTCCCATATATGTACCCATCCATTTCTGGATATGTCGTGTCGTCTCATGGCAAAATACCTACCTGAACAGCAAGTACGGCAACTCGAGCTTTCTCTAGCTTCACTGGGATGGTGACACCAAGCCAGGTAACCTCGGTAACTGAGCCCGCTTGAAGAGCTTGCATCTGCTTCAACAACTCGTCCAGTTGTTCCTCGGCAAGAGTGCCCTCAGCGCCGGCACGCATTTCCATTAGGTCGGAGGCCGCGGAGGCATCGCCAATGCTGTAAGCGCAATAGCGAATTTGTGGAAGCAGTTCGTTAGTGCGTGCCGTGTATATAGCTTTTAGGTCCTCGTCGACAGAGGTCGAAAGACCAGAGTAGATTTGCTGCGCCGATTCCAGAAGCTCCTTCGCCTTCACCCAGTCCTATTTAGGCGAAAAATGTACTCCACAGCATTCGAGACAGCATAAAGTAGAAGGGTTATAAATGCAGTAAGTATAAAATAATGACTAACTTGTTGCTCGAAACTGAGAATTCCCAAAATCCACTGGATGTAAGCGGTCAATTCTAATTTGGTCTGTGCACCACACATTGGAACTCCTGTTAAGAGTTCACTGAGCAACTGTGCTCCCTTAGCAGCTTTCCGAAGACGCGAAATCATGTGGAAACGCTTCCGAGGCTCAGAATTTGCCTCTGCCCTCAGCTGCATGGCGTAGGCCCAACACCGCTCGATCTCGAATACCGCTAGGACGAGATGACGAGCATCCGTGACCATATCAGGGGTCAATTTCTTGGGAGCCACGCGCGACCGAGTACCCTGCTGAAGACGCAGAGACTTGCGCATGCGTCTAATTTTGCGTGTCACATATTGTTGGTAACGTTGATAATCCCCGTGTCGCAGACCGTGTTGATTTTGGGCGCATTTTACGATATAGAGAACTAAAAAAACACCTCTTATAGAAGCAAAACAATCTAGTTGAAAAGGTGTTGATGAACGGGATTAAAATTTTAGGCCAGAAGTATTCAATAAAACTAAATATTTGCATCTTTTTTTGCGCCAAAATACTCGTGTACTCTCAAATCTAGTGTTCATTAAAGCATTCGTGATTGTAGATTTATCTGTAAGATTTCAACTACTTTGCTTTCTATAAAATTACACTGGACATGTGGAACACCAGACCCCATACGAAAATAAAAAAAGCAGAAAACTTTTACTACATCAAGTACTCCTAGACATCAAGAGATTACAACTAGTACGTCAGAAAGGGACAATAAGACACGTGATCGAAGACATTCGAGTGACAAAAACCACCATAAAATGCGTGATTTATACTGTGTTTGGTAATATACTATGCCATTGGGAGCAAGAAAAATAGCGCTATTAATAAAATTCAAACCAGTTCCCTACCTGGAATGTTAAACACCCTTTTCTCCGCACCTGGAGCTTGCACAGATGCAGCAACCATGTAAACGTATGCCAAATTCAAATTCGGTGGTAGACTCAAACAAAGTCTCAAGGCCAAATGCGCAAAGCTAGTATATTAGTATATTGGCATTTAAACGCTTCGTGCATAATTTTTTTCACTAAACAAATATTTTTATTGCGGTTAAAATCTTAATATTATGCTTACATACTAAAATGAAAATACTTAGCGATTTGCACGTTCATTGGTCGCTTTGAGGGTAGTATTAGCTGACTGGCTTTCGCCGAGGCGGGCTGGCTAATCAATAGGTTTGGCAGCGCGACCCTTCAGGGAGTGCCTGTCCGTCCCACTCCAGTTCGCGTCCTGTTCAGTATGCCTCAGTTTCGGGGCAATAGCCCAAGCCAGAACGACGTGCGCCGTTGCACATAGATTTTCTTTCGCTACTGGCTAAAGTTTGCGCGACCAAATACCAGCGTCCTGCGCCCCGTTCTCTGCCCTACGTCGAGCGCCGCATTGCTTAAAACTCTTGTGTTACGCGTAGCTGCGCGTAAATCCACGTACCCGCACGGCATCGCACACCACGCGTCTCGTCATACATCCCATTTGAAGTGCAACACGGCATTCTTGCGAATAGCGCGCGTATCCTGACTGTCTCTCGTTCACGCGTTACCATCAGCTGGGTGTGCATTGCGTGCCGTCACACAGGCACAAGGTCTGAGCCCTCAAGGACTCTTTTGGCAGGCCACGTCTGACCACCAAACCCTGCAACCTCTCCCGATATCACCCCAACAATGCTCTCTCCCTTTCCCCTCTCACCTTGTAACTGTCTTCCGTGATGCTATCAAGACACAAAAGCCGTGTTCATACTTCAGCAAGCAGTGTTTGCTCATCGAAGTTGGACCTCTCAGAAGAGCAGTTTGCTTCTGATTTAGCGAGGCTTCGAGGCATTCCTCGGTAGGTCTAAGTTGTAGCACTTACTGGACATTGCTAGGCACATGGTTCATACACAGCCGCGGTTAAACGGACAGCCGGTGAATCTGGTGAAGCTGTACAATGAAGTTGCTATTCGTGGTGGGTCAAGGCGGGTCACCTCACTGTCGCTTTGGGAGGAGGTTGCCAAATCGATTTCACTGACAAAGGACTGCGTGAATATTGGCCATGCAGTGAAAAATGTCTTTCAGAAATACCTAGAGCACTTTGAGCGGGTACAATGCAGCTTGGACGGACAATCAAGTTCAGACGTGTCACAGGTCATGGAAATTGATCTCGCCAACGATTCTACCAACAGTTTACAAGTTGTCGAAAACCACCTACGTCACCGATGGAATTTAAGCACTGATCTCATCGAATCCGTTGAATACCGAGCTCTCCTGCTAGCCTTGCAATCGGGTCTGCCTAATGAATTGGACTACGCAATCAACACCATTCTCCTCATGTCCTCTCAACCGAATGGTTTTGAGTTGGGCCGATGCCCTCAAATCCTTCCTCTCATGCTCTCCACTGTGGGTATATATTCCACAAGTATGTCAATCGTTGTTATCGCTTTAATGCTGTTCCCCTCATTAGGTCCATGTTCATACCGTTTTCTAAAGGAGGCCTGGCAATCTCAGTGCAATCGAGATTTCCACAAGGTGAGTGATGGCTCGTTTGTGTGATTCCCCATAAATTTAGTTCTGGCTTTGCGTTGTCAACAGTAATTATGGCCGACAGTTTCTCAACCCCGATATCTTTTCCGGTAAGCACTTTACTATGCCTACTCGCTTGATTTATATTTATTTTTTTTTAATTTGCTTTACTGGCTTATTTAATCTCGATTTTAACCTCTTTTGCGACGCAGATATTCATTCTTGCTCCACGTTTACTCGTAAATTGGCTTTTAACGTGGTTTTGAGCTTCTTCAAACCGTTCCACTGCTTGTTTTGGATCGTGGCCCAAATATGTTGGAGCGTGAATGTGTTGCTAGGGCTTTCGCAACCTCCACGTCCGTCTCGTCAGCCTTATGCTTTGCCATCGGTTTTGTGAACCATCTACGGGCACTCGGGTGTTCCTCGGGTGTCGTATTAACTAGTAAATCATCATGGCAACCATGATAATCCATCTAGCTACTGTTTGTTACTGCCTTTTTCAGGTAAGCGCCTTCCTAAGTCTACCTCGGAACCACCGCCTTACTCCTGTCCCCTAACATTTCGCGACACCATGACCTACCACGACGTAGAGGGTTTCCGCGTTCAGCTGGTCGCGATGGTGTTGCGGAATCTCGTCGTGAACGCCTGTGGCAACTCGGTCATCCTCAGTCAGGAGCCGGATGTGTTCCGTTTCATCTGTTTGTGCATTTACTCCTCGCACACGGCTCTGCGTCAACTTGGGCTCGACACGCTCTCCTTCCTCCACTTTCCTGTCGTCGGACCGCTCTCCGATGTCCTTGCTCGACTCCTCCCTGAACTCCTCTCCTCGCAGGACCGCGTCGACGCTACCAGGGGTATGTCCATATTGTCCGCGTGCTTGTCGTTATACCTCGCAGTTGTCTGTCACTGCCGAGTGATTGTCCTTCTCTATTTCTCGGTTGCACATCCCACTTTTATCATGTTCATTCAGCAAATCCTTAATATACATGTCGTTATAAGGAATTGGAAGTACTCGCTTCTACTTTCTTGTTTAGTAATCTTTGTCGATCTAGGTTAGTTTCTAGAAGGCTGTTTTACAATGGGACGGACGTAGTTTTGTCTTGTAAAACTTCTTTGCCAGCTTTGTTAATGATTCAAAGCCTTGCTCTAGTGTACGGAATTCAGGACAAATCTTCAACTTACCCATGGTTTGCGCTCCGACGACATACGGATATTCTCCACTGTCTAATTTGACCTGCCGTAATTTTGATAAATGTCAGCACGAGCATCCCAACCAATCGGTCTCGGGTGCTTCCCAGGTGGATCTCGTTGTTCGGCTTTTCTTGCAGGTGTTGAGTCACTCAGGCTTTCCTCTTTTTACAAGGTCTCATGATTATCCGCAACCTCTGCGAATCGCCTGTTCAGTCGCATCAGGGCAGTCCTGGCTCCATGCACAACTACCTCATCGAGACCTCCTCAAGGAATGTTGATTTCCTCACCCAGTCCCTTCCCAAACAGGTGATTAGTGTGATCGTGCAACTGGCCTGCCTTCGCGACCTGCACATGCTCGTGTTGGCTCTGGACGCGTTGTTCGCGCTCTCGGCGCAGGGTCCGATGCTCTGTGGCGGTCTTGTCGACGAGCGACACCGTCTCGTCCCGATCCTGGTGGGATATCTGACCTTTGAGGCGCAGTCATTCGGATCTGAGGGACTTATCAGGATTCGAGTCATGCAGGTCAGCTGTCTTCCTACTTCCACCTCTGGTTTTGCCCCACTTTTTTTTACCCGTATTAGTTAGTAGGAGTGGTTTCCAGTCTAATCATGTCGAGATCGTTTGACTGCATTAGTTCTTGTTGTAGGTCCCAGGGTCGACCGCTACCGCCGTCGCCGCCGCCACCACCACCGCGGTCTGTACGCCGTCCCAGTCCCAGCCAACCCCGGCGCGGCGTATTCTGGAGAAGCCCTCCAACGTTGTCATGCCGCCACCTGCACCTGTGAGAAGGATCACCCCGCCTTCCCTCACCACCACCTCCCTCCTGCTTAGCCCGCCACCGCAACCCCACGCCGGCTGCTACGCTGTCCCGGTGCCAGTAACTGCCGCCGCTCCTCCTGCCCCCCAGCAAACCAAGCCTAAGCCAACATCGTCCCAGGAACCCTCATCACTGCCACCCACTCCGATTGCTAGGGTCAGTCATGCTTCACTTAACGCCCAAAATCTCATTTTTTGTCTCGGCATGAAATTCAGCACTGAATGAGTGGATTTGATGTGTTAACCACGTAGACAATTCCATCATCGCTCTCGTGTTAAAGACTAAGTCAGTTGGTTGTCCAGATCCGCTGTTTAAACCTCCAGTACCCAAGATTGGGAAGAATAGCACCTCCACCATCGTCTGTATCGCATCACATGTCCACAGGCGCATTGACTCATGCCTTGAACTAATTAATTCATAGAACGTGTAATTAACGCACCGCCAGTGCACACACTAATTAACCAGACATTTAAAACTGACGTCTCTTCACCACGGTGCTTCTGGTGCCGGCACACGAGCCACCGGATCACAAATCCGTGTTCGTTGTGATTGGCAAGCTGTACTGTCGGCGGACATTGGTTTTTTTTCTGCGCGGGTGTCAACTTATTAGGTTTTCAGGTATACTGAAAGACACGCTCTCCATCTTCCTTCCCTCTTTTAAAGTCGTTTCACAACCGTCACGTCGGTAGCATTTGGATTACAGCCGTGTCGAACCTGTGGTGTATAATTGTGTGTAATTGGTTTTTGCTCTGGCCCTCAGTAACAATGTTGTCCTAACTGACGTGGCTACTCAAATCCGTTTCAAGTCCCAGGGGACCCACGTATCTTTCATCTCCTACTCTCGGGTTACTTAGTAATGTGTGTGAAAACCACGCCTTAGAGCTAATTACGTAGTTTTTTTACTACTATTTAACATGTAGTTAATTGCTATAGCCGCCTACTTTGTTAGGGTAATATTTGTATTAAACATTGCAGGCCCCCACGCCGTCAGCGACTGCGAGTGGTGCTGTGCCGACGTCAGCGGTCGAGAGCACTGATTCCCCGACGCCATCGACTACGATGGTAATCGCGTCGATTCAGCCCCAGCAGCCAGTCGTGCCGCGGGCCTCCGTGTTGCCCGTCGTTGTCACCGCGCCCAAACAGCTAATCTCGCCACCGGCAGCCAACGGTAAGCAGGGTGAGAGGAAGTCAAACCCACCGGCGTTGCCGGCGTCGCAGCAATCACGACAACTGCTCCAGTCGTCGTCTTCCCCACTCATCAACACCCTCCCCAAGCCGTATCCCAACGCGCCGACAGACAAGCGCGAATTTGCCGTCTTTTGGCTTAACAAAAACTACGAGGTGCATCCGCAGTCGAGCTTTCCACGGGTACAGATCTACGCCGATTACCAAAAGGCCCATCAGGCGCAGTTTGGCTCCTCCTCTGGTGGCGCTCTCTCTGCTGGAGATTTCCACGCTATGATCAAGTATGTGCGCATTATTCCTGTGTTCACAATTGCCCCCACTAACCCGTTGGGTCTTGTTTGGAAAAAGACACCCGTTTCATTCCTTCCACCGTAGTTCCCCCAGTCTAGTCTTGACTATTCTAACGCCGTAGTCGTTGGTTGTAACCTACTTTTGTTCAACTTGTTGTTTGTTAACGCCTCCCAGAACGACGTAGTCATGAGTGCTAACCAATTCCACGACTTCGTTGTACAGCCGAGAGCTTAAATCGGCCTGATGACTTTTCCGTCTGTTAAAACCACTAGCTGTCACACGGCGGCCACACGTGCTTATCTGAAAGCACCGATGAGTCAGCACCTGCATGCTAACAGTTTGTTCTTAGTCATTCTTTTGTGCCAGCAGTTGTAGTACAGAAAAGCATGTGTGACGACGCATTTCTAACTTACCCTGCATAAAAATTCCAGAACCGTGTTTCCCCCCGTTGACCAAGTGAAGGTCCTCGTTCCAAACGGGAACGTCGAGATCCACTACAACAAGCTGAAACATGTGGACGCCCCTGAACCCGTGGAGCAGACTCTTGGTAAGAGTCGAGTGGTAGTTGGTTGTGTTGACGACATCGTGGTCGGTTCCATGGAATGCTCATTGTCCCCTTTTTCCCTTGTCGACAGGTGTTCAGCACATGCTCGGAACGTGTCTGGCCAGTCAGAATGCCGAAGCGAAGAGCCTGACTCCCAAGGCCGCGGGCACCCCAAAAGTAAGTTACGCATCATTACGCGTCCCGTCAGCCCCACACGTGTGGTCTGCACGCCTAGTACATCCGTCTGCGCACGCCCCGTCTTTGTGACCTGATTGGAGCGCGTCAAGGTCGTGTCGCTATAAGCGCGCGTACGCGCGCTTACGCACGTGTTGCGTGTCCGTGTGTAAGCCACGTGAGTATGTGTGGTGACCTTGAAGCCACGTGTGTAGGCGTTTCTGCTGACGACGTCGTCGTCGCCGACGCTGCTTATTATTACGGCATCACGCACGCACACACCCTCCATCGCCTTAGTGTGACGTGGCGCATATCTGTGCGCCCCCTGGGCTAACAACTATTTACTTGTGCTGATTGATCTGGCGGCCACGTACCACCCATACCTGTGGCATTTCCCTACTATCTACGCTCGGCATCTTGTGTTGTCTTACCGTAATCGCAAAAGTTCACTTCACCCCCTCGCGCAAATCACGCGAATGTGGATTTGACAGGCACAGGAGACGGTCTTGTCATTCAAATTTTACCTCTAACCGTTACCGATGGTCTAGGTGTTCTTCCAATTCCGTTTGGTTCTCAAGACACCAACTTTGCGCGTGTTTTTACATGCTGTCCTGCACAGCGTTCTTGATCGGTGTCAGGAGAAAAAGCATTTAACATTCAACATACTTGACAATCCGTGGGGTTTATCTACCTCCCAGTAGCCACACCTCAACTACATGGCACACAAACGTCTGTTGTTTATTGCCGCCTTCTTTTCCGACAGCCAAACCGTAAACGCACAGCCTTCAATCTGATCGAGACGCCGGCTGCCCTCGAGCCGGTTGTGAAACAGGTGCGTCTGGTTGATGAGTCGGCGAAGGCAAATGGCGCGAGTCTGACAGCCGCCGCCGCCCCCACTACCACCCTTCTCAACGGCACAACCGCGCACCCAATCAAACTCGTCGCGACGAACGCCGCCACCTTTGTCGATGGTCTTATCCCTGTCTCATCTAACGGTCCGATTGAGCTCACCTCAAAGTAAGCGCGTTCGCCTGTGTCATGAGCACAGGGCGGAGAGAGGGGCTTTTGTACTATTTTATCACCCTGTTGAACTTTGTTGCTTGGTTATTCTCCCACACAGATTTTCCTTAATATAACCTGGTAAGAACTTGGCTGTTACCTGTGCTATATGTTCCCCTCATATTTCCTTATTTTAGCGGTATCCATCTGCAACAACCGGTTATCGCGGCCTCCGCCATTGTTTTTCCAAGCATGGATGGAAAGCGCATGCTAAACGGTGTTACCAGTGGCGGAGGAGGTGGCGGCGGCGGCGGTGGTGGTGGGACAACCACCGCCACGTTGATCGACACTTCGCAAGGCGTCCTCCAGTTTCGGACACTCCTGCCCACGACTTCCGCCACCACCGCTGCGGTGAACCGGGTCTCCAATCAGGTGTCATCCCAGTGCAGACCCTCTCTTGTCATGCAATCGAGCGGCGGTGGCAGCGAGGTGACGGCTCACCCTACCCTTACTTGTCTAGGGACGTTGGTAACGGCAGCCGGTGGAAGCTCAGTGTGCGGTGGCATGGCGTCCGCACCGCAACAGGTCTTTGTCTACTCCATTGCCCCCCAAACACCGTTATCGATCGGGCCCACGGCCACCATCCTTCCCACCCTGTCTCACCTCCCCCTCGTGAATACTGCGTTGTCGCAGCAGCAGCAGCAGCAGCAACGAACTTACCCACCAACCTGCTGTTGTCAGTGGGCTGAGTGTCGGAAGACCTTTACGTCAGCTGACCGCCTTTTTTCGCATATCTACTCAGCGCATTTCACGCCGATTCGAGGTCAGCAGGACACGGTAGGCGTCTCACAATGTTCCTTTTTTGACCAGTTAGGTGAAATCCCATCCATCTACTGCATTCATATTACACTAACGTAGGCGCTATGCCAGCTTATTGATTAGTTTATAGTAAGGTCTCTTTTCTTGCAGACTTGCAAGTGGTTGAACTGCAAGGAATCCAACAATCGACGAAGCCCTTTATCGTTGTTGGATCATTTGCATGACCAACACTGTGCTGCTCGTCCCACTGCTGGTACCACGAAGGTCCTCGCTTCTAGCACTAACGCCACCGTCAGCGCACCAACGCAACCGTCGTCAACAGACCCCGTTGTCTCAGACGAACCAGATAGACCGGTGTTGACTGCGCTGGCTGCCACGAAGCCCTCCGTCTCTGCGACCAGAGCCACCGTGGCGGAGCACGAGTTTCGTCAGTCCCTCCAGGCTGATTTCACAGCCGTCACGTCGGAGGCGCTGCGAGAGGGTCCCGTCACGAAGCACGTTCGTCTCACTGCCGCCTTGATTCTCCACAATCTGGCGACCTACTCACCGGTCGCTCGAAGGTGAGCAATTGCTTCACTAGGCGTCCTGTTGACCATCCAAATGCCTTCCACGTCTAGCAGTGTAGTGTGGGTCACATCGGCGTTGTTTTTGTTCTGTAGGCAGCTGAGGGCCTACGAGGCGTTGCTTTGCGAGGTGGCTTTTTCAGGAACGGAGGCTTCTAGTACTCTCGCCAAGTGCTTGGCCCTCCTGTCTTCGTTTGCATCGAACGAGTCGTCGGAAGCCCAGAACACCGATCCTTCATCACTTCACGACCTCAGGTAGCAAGCCCCCCCCCAGTCCACTGTAAATTTTCCCCAATTATGTGTACAGTGATCAGTCTCTTTTTATACACTCGATGACGTATATATTATCTCGATTGTACAGCCCACCGTATGTATTAATCGCCTGTTTAATTTTTATACATCTTGCCATTGTTACAACCTGTCGAGTGATGCAGCTGCGTGTTTTATCTAGGCCTCGGCCAAAATCATCATTTTTTGTGGTGGTGATGTCAACTTCTCTCTTCATGTATATTTTGTTCCTTACACAAGATGGCATTATGTCATACCGTATACGTCTGTACTTTAAAAAAAAAGTAATATTCTCTTCTTCACGCGTGCTTAATTGGTGGTTCGCTTTACTGACTGACTTTGGAAGCTGCGATGATGCAATCTGTCGAAGTAAGGGCAGATTTGTTGAAGGTTCTTCGGAACCAATCTGATTTTTTTGTGCGGTTTCGGTAAACAGACAGGGCATTCTTGCACAAACCTTTTCAAAAACCGGACAGAATTAGCGTGTGCGTTTGAGACTTGGAAAAACCGAGTTGCAGCCTAGGGGGTCGGTCATAGGGCTGCAGGCGAACCCACCTTTCAGTGCAGTACGCTAGTAGACCGGGATTAGTGTCACTATTTGGCCTTAAAGTTGCCCACAATATAGCTACTTTCATCGACGTTTGGAAAAGACATCTAAGCGGAGTAGACGTAGGCACAAGCTGCTACTTTCTACCCCTTCATGCGTTAGATTCGTCTGTCACTTTGGATGTACGCGAAAACTAGTTACATATAAACAGTTCCTTTGCCTATTTAACTCCCTTCTTAGCAGTTTTGACAGCACTGATGTAAAGCATTTTTGACTTGCTGTTGCCTTACTCAAATCACAACGCTGTAAGCGTAATCATACTAAAAACCATTTAAAATGCTTTAATGACGGCGTTTACACATATCGTCGAGATGCGCTTACGTGGAATAGCCTTTCGACCAATGGCATTGGTGTGTGTCACGCGTCAACGCTCCGCAGCGTTGCATTGGGCCGCCTGTCGGTCACGCTTGTTCATAATCCAGCACGATCCACCATGACGTCATACCTCGACCTGGATGAGTCATGACCTTTCAGGTTTTTGAGCCCGTTTTCTGGCCATGCGGCTTAACGCATAAGTTGCCGACAGGTACATGCCTATGGTGCAGATGACAAACGCGATCACCTAACTGGTTTGACAATTACACCGAATTGGACCATTTGTGTGCAATTGTTGTCTCAGTCCCCATAAATTCCCATGGTTCCTCCATTTAGCCGAACTGTCCATTTTGGCATGAATCCAGCTATGCGTGTGTGAATTCATGCAGATTTCGCTAGTCAGCTGATGTCTAGGCATTCACAATCGTTTCCAGATTTGTCTTCTTGCTGTTTATTCTTTTCATTACGGTAATTGATTCTAAAAAGAGAGATTGACGATTGCGCTTTCCCGCAGTGAGGCTCACGTATCGTGAAATTGGGTTATCAAAGTGTCTGAGCAGGTAAAACCTTCGATTTATCGATTCACGAAAGCTTTGCAATCAGCCAATTAACGATCGCGGTGTTCCTTTCAGGTTGACGTTGGTTATCGCAGAAATCATCACCCACATCTGCGTAATCGAACGTGACAAAATCCACTTTCACTCAAGCTGTTAGCCTCTGTCCTCGCTATAGATAATATCGAATTTTCCTGCTAATTAAGTTGCCACATCTGTGCCAAAGCGATCGACGACACTGCTGGCAGTATGCGAAATGGCATTGTTTTAATCACAAAATTGTTTTTTTTAACCCACGATGAGTAATTGCGGTAGCAAATAACCGGGTTTCAGTGGTGGCATTTGGGAATTACCGGCGGTTTTCGCATCGCGTGACCACATATGCAGACGTCGATCACAGTGGTCGCCTTTCCTTCCCTTTTTGGTCTGTTAACATAACCCCCCGATTGTGTCCTGTACAGAAGGAGCTTTAAAGCCTAAATGATGAATTAGATCGCGTCTTGAACAGTTGCTGCCAATGGCGATTATTGACTCAGTCGGATTTTGGTCAGCCGGACTTAAGTTTGTCAGATCCTGCATCAACCTTAACATTGCACCACGTCATCAAAAACAAAAGAAGGTATGATTTTGAAACTTTAGTTTGCGAAAACACTAGTGGAGTGCTCTTTTAAACTCCTTATGATGAAGTAGAAGACTGGAGAGGAAGTAGACACAACTGATTGTTTACTTCAAAGTCCAACCGAGTCGGTGTCGTGTGTGGTGTTTGCGCGTGTGTATTTAGAGCTTAGATGTGTGAGTCATAGATGCGCTAACACCGAGACCTAGGTGTGGGGACACTCCAAGATGAATATTCGTGCTAACGAAGGGGGAGTTGAGGATCCGCGTAGCTGACGACATGATGCGAAAAGGAGGACCTTGTGTCGGAGGCTGGAGTGATTGGAATCGCGAGTGTGAACCAACGCGATTCACTAGTCGAAAATGCTCAACAGGTAATAGATTTCGCCTAATTTTGCATGTTTATGCCGACATTAAGCAAGTCGTGTGCCTTTTGACAGAAGTTTACAATTTTGCCTAAGAATGTGCGTGCCCTCGACAAGTAGATATAACCGTTTTCATTTCACAACTCAGCAGTTGATCTCGTCTTTTTTGTGTTTGAGCACTAGATTTCGACATTCTCTCACGCATCCAGTGGTACTTGAACTCCTATTAGCGCGAACTCTTTTCAAACTTCCGTTTCCCACACAAACGAGATTTTGCTGGCAGACGTCTTGCCGTCGAATCATTGCAATTTCCTTGGCACGCCCATTCACACTAACAATGCAGCCAAAAGGAGAATTCTTTAAATCCTAGACGCATTCAAAAATGCCAGTTTCGAGTCTACTACCATATGTGTCCTCGAAAACCATGTTTACGTTGAGGTCAGCGGTCAGGCGCCCATTCATAAGCATTGTTGTTGTGCTAAATATATCCGAAATGCTGCCAGACCGACTTCATTTGTTGCTTGCTAAATGCGTTTAGACCAGCTGACTGGAAGGTGAGGATTCTGGCTAGAGAAACACCGATCTGGCTGGAGAGACATGCCACAAGACAGGCGTACCTTACAGGTGAAATCTCCGTGTGACGACTCGCATCCCACTTGTGAGAAGTGTTACTAATGTAATTGGTGTGATTGTAAGAAGGTCTGATAACAAAATTGCATCAAGTTTCTCGCGCCAATTAGCACACACACACACACAAGCACGTGCACGTGTGAGATTAGGAGAGAAACGGACAGGCAGGAAATGCACCGATGTAAAGCGGAGGCGGATGAAAAGAGGAAGGGGGAGGAGAAGGCGACAGTCCCATGCACGCACGCACGCACGCACGCGTGGGGGAAAGAAGGGCCAGGCAAGGCGAAACCGTTAGGCCGTCTACCATTGGTTGGCTCTAGGTTTAGGCACGTGTAGGGCTTAGCTCCCAACGCATTCGTCTGAGAGAGCTCATTGGGCTGAATAACTCCTATCCAGGGGTAGTTCATTTTTTTCTGGCATTGCGATCGCTATCTTTATAACAAAATGTTCTATGCTATAGCATTTAAATTGAAAAGTGCAACGCTCCGAAATTGGGCTTTGGGACTTTGATGGCGTCATAAAAGTCACATGAAAACCACTCGTCCTTTGAAAGTGACCTGCTCTTTTATCTGATATGGTTGCACCACCTAGATTTTATAGGCCGATAGCTTTTCTAAAGGCCCCCATTTATCCAGAGGAAAAACCTCGCATCCTGTTTTAATTGGTTGTGATTGGAGTCGCTTTCTTCGAAGAAGACCAACTGCTGATTAGTCTACGAGAGATGTTAACGAGCACGCTTAGTGTTGTACAGGCAGTTGAAATTTCGTACCTGTTGCTTGTAAATTATGGACTCGGTTCATAGACTTGGCATAATTCTATAGCGGAGCAATCTAGAGCGACGCAACCCACTTTTGAATGAACTGGACTCTTGCAGCCTACCTTAGGTGTTGCCAGACTGTTCGACTTCGGCAACCACTGCTGTTCCCCCCATGTTAAAACCTTCTCGGTCGACAAGACTTCTATCGCTATCACTGAAGTAGAACTCGATTTTCCCGGTCGCAATATCTGTTTAAGTACCCGCAGACTCTGCTCCCCAGAAATTAAATAAATTCCAACCAGCATTCTGTCATTTCTTTGTGGTTTTTTCTTATTTTATTGGATGCCAATCAGCACACCCGAGATGTTTGCGTCATTAGTGTTCTTTTCGATATTACCATGGCCAAAATGTCTCATTCGTGGAACCTGATCAGCCAATCACGTGTTTATTTTAGAGATAAAGGCAATTACCGATTGTCGTGTGACCTTTACCCTTGGGGTGCTGCTGATGTGAAACATGACATTTCACCTTAAGCAATGTTGACCGACTTCCTGACGCAAACAAACCTCTTTAGCAAGATTTGACCGGTCTGAGAATGCATTAGTTACGAGAATCCTTTGGCCAGCGGTCCTAAACTTCGTCGACTGTCATTACCTCAGTTATTTAAAAATTAAAAGTTACAGCACGTAATGCAGTAAGCAATTAATGCGCATTAATATTCAGTAGAAGCACGCGTTTTTGCCATCCCATTGGCCAGAAAGCTAGATAAGCGCTATTGCAGAACATCCCCTGTGAATGAAAGCCGGGCTGGTGGAAAATACGGTTATTTCCGCTTTTTGAGTCACCTGAAAATGGACACATTTGGTCACAAGTTAAATTCCCTGTTGGCCTATGTGGCCTGCAGCAGAAGGGGCGGGGGAATAACGGTATGATGCAATGGGGCAGCTGTTCAAAGGCTTGAATTAAGGAAAACTAAGCAAAGTTGCCACTTAGGTCTTTGGTAATCCGCATCACTCTCTCTAGTGTTAAGCAAAACGCACCCCAGGGCTTGCCTATCGACAGGGCTCAGTTCTGCAAGCTGCCATTAGTGTGGAGAATTTACTTCCAAAGCAGTTGTCTTCAGTGTGAGGGAATGTAACCCTTCAAACCCACGGGATTTCGAAGGTATCCAAAACGCTATTTTGTTGCACCCATTGTAGGCCGCTTGTGGCCCCACAAAAAACTGACATTTTAAATGCTAATTGAACAATAACGCTATACTGATACAACGCATCTATCTTCGATGAACCACGGTATTTGGGAGACTGCCAACATCGGTGGAAAAATGCCGAATTGTGGACGATCTGTGCGTTATCTTGTCCACCTGGTTGATTATCACAGGTAATTACGCTGCCAGAATCCAGGTACTGTTCAAATCGTCGTAACAGTAGTCTGCCTTCATAGACTTTAATACAAGTGTTCTTGGCCACTTATGACGTCATGTCGGGCGCGTCAAAACGGCGACACGAAGCGTTTCTGAAGGCTGTCGCAAGCACAACGATCTTGGGCCAGCGAGTTGCAGGACGACCCTTAGTCATACCCATCCATTCATTCCCTCGAGACCCCATAATTGTATGTCGTTTTCATTAAAAGGACATTTTTTTACTCAAACTTGCCCCGGAAGAGTTATGTGGTGGCTAGTTAATTTCATACTTGCCCAAATTTGTCGATATCTCAAATCGAAAAAATAATTAACTACTAATGAAAAATTCGATATTATCCAGTTTCTAACTTTCATAATACCTCGCAGACCTTTCCACGATCAGAACTTTTTTCCACATGAAAAGTTTTAAAAAAAGTTGCTGATAGAGGCTCCTCGCTGGCTTGCAACGCATACCTAGCATGTTGCAAGTGAGTCATCACTGCAAAACCATTTAGTTCGCAGAGGTTTCAATGGTACACCAGATGTTATTTTTTATGCTGCCTGAAGCCGGAAAAACACACGGGTTTAAACAGGATTGTCAAAATCTCGCAATTATGACTCGCCGTTTCGGTGAACAACCGAAGCGCTGTGGCTCTAAAGCGGTGTTAGAGTTGGTAAAACGCGGCCCGATTTTTTTTCACAAAACCAATTTTAGCTGGAGGTGCTTATTCGGGTCCAGAGGCAGCTATTTTTAAAGGTTACTTAGTATTTTCTGACTCATACACAGCACTGTCTCATTATGTCAATCAATTTTGGGCTCCATCAGCGACGATTGCCAATCACCACTAAATTTGAGTAACTGTTTCTATTTTCAGGCAATTTCAGTCCACAGATATTTTATGTAATTTCGAAACACCCAGAACATGCAACATGTCCTTTAGATGTGGAGTTTCAATTAAACCCTTGAGGGCCAAACAATCCTGACGAACCGAGTTATAACACCAATGACAAGTCGAACAGGGCCATATTGTTAGTTGTTTTATTGAAGCTCTTTGTAAGGTTTCAGACAATTTATTCAAAGTCATGTACCTAAACCAGTGACATAACATGAACCAGCTGGCTGTATTGTGTCAGTGGTGTAGATGGAGACATGATTTATAGTTGTCCGAGGAGTGAGCCGCATTATTGAGCGCCGTCGAAACGCTTCGATCGAGGCAAGGAGGTAACAACAGTGATGCCGATAGTGGCAATGTAGACGAAGAAGAAGAGTCGATCCAGCACTAGGGCCATGGTTCGCCACTCCATGGCGATCGCATTCTTGCGTGAGCCCTCCTTCTGCCGGTTCACGAACATGCGCACGTATCGTTTCAGCTCGCGCACATCGCGCTCCAAGCTGGTGCTAGAGCTCAGCATGATGGGAGAGTCCTCGGAGTCGGCGTTTCCAGCCGGCGGAGCCCTGACCGCATCCACAGTCGAGGAGTGCCAGTCAAGGGTCCCGGGAACGCCCCCACTGCGTCGGGAGAGATCGCCCACCGAGTCGGCTAGTCCCATGCATCCTGGACAGGTTGTGGCCGCGCATGACGGTCCGAAACCTGACCGACTGCCAGACATGGGCACGTGGTTCCTCCATCCACTCCCGCCATCAATACAGTTCGGCAGTGCACCTGAAAGGTCACGAATGCTCAATAAATCTGGCTTCGCTAGGTGTCTTTAATCCGCATTTAAAAAAATTGAAGGTCACAACAATAGGCTCTCTGATTAGGTGTTTTAATTGCAGGATAATAGCTTCCAGAAGGGCCAATAACCGCAAAGTAGGTACCTAATGACCTAGTTTTACACTGCAAGCACAATGCCTAATTAAAATGTTATTTTGCCCGACGAAAATCAAGTAATGATTACATAGAAGTGGATTCGTACTTATGGCTACTAAATTTGAAGTAAATTTAAGGAAAAAAATATATGGAGTGGAAAGGGAAAATTAGGCCCTACTAATTAGGAAATCATTAGGTAGAAGGCCAGAAAAAGTGGAAAAAAGGGAATGAAATTTTGGCGTCATGTAAATTAGGAACGCGGGTGTAGTTAGCTTGAGCTAACGTCAAAGCACGATTTTACGAAGTTACGTGTGAAATTTTTGTCATTATCGCACTTTTTGCATCAAACTCACGTGCAGAATCTACGAGCTGTTGCTAAGTCCAAGTACTTTACAGTTTTCTGGTGCCTGTTTTGCATGTTTTCACATTTTGCCATTCGCGGTCTATTTTGTAGCCACAAACACTGACACACCATCGCGCTAATTTCTTTGGACACTCAAACATCTACACTGGAACGCAGACACGTAGGTGATAAATTACTAACCACGGAGAATCGATCTTCCACGGCTACCAAGATATTAGGCCGTTTGCCCAGGTCGCAGTAGAGCACCTAAGGTGGAATATTCATGCAGACTTTTGTAAAAAGGATAGTTCGACCAGTTATTTAGCTTTAAATGCTGTCAAGCTAATTTCAAGACTTGTTTACAAATCCTAAACAATACTTTGGGTACAGGTTATAGAGGTACAATTGTGGAAACCAGGTGTCACTTCACTATATACATGGAAATGTGCCGATCAGTTTGACCAGAGTGACGAAGCTGAACACCATTCAAGTGTGAAGTTGGTGGTTCAACGTCATGTTTTCTTAAGGCATCTCTTGTTATTGGCTTGTTTTAATGCTACTGCCTTGGTTTTTTAATGAACAAATACTTATTGTGGGGAATAACCTTGTTGTAAGAAGGACCTTTACATAAACTCAACTTACTTTTTTAAAAAAAAACCTTTTTTTTATAAACACAGACTCAAAGCATTTTAGTCTTTGAAATTTCGGTTATTATGATCACTATTCAGAAGGGTGATGCTGAAGAGCTTTGATGAATGATTTTCCAGAAATTAATCGAGCTTGGAGCAGCTTACAGCCAGGGTTAATAACAAAAAACAACTAGTGTCGAACGAAAAGTCTTTTACCCCTAAATCGTAGTTTTAAAGCGATTGGGATCCGCAAAATATGCTTTCAGATCGATGGTGTGTGCCCAAGCGAAGCAGCTGAATGGCCGTTTAACATCTTCTGGTACACGACTGATTATAATTAAATAATGATCCTTGCAAACGGGCTTAAATGCCTAGTAATAACACTGCTTCGGTGGGATTTTATCTTTCATTAATGGTAGTAACACGTGAAAATGTCGTAGCTTGTCTATTGCTTAACAAATAATTATTGCGACCTAAGGAGTCGGGTGTCATAAATTGGTTTACCGATAAAATGAGGAATTTCACCCTCCCACCCAACTCATTGTTGTGTTAAGTAATTATTTTTATACTTTGTGGGCTACGCGATAGCTTCGAAAGAGTTGTTAAAAGCTACGTACCCAGTGGTCAGTCGATACTGCAAATATTTATTGACGCACATATAAATAAAACGAATGAAACTGGTTATCGACCCGGTTATCGACGAGGAGGCGAGTTCAAAACAAATCCACCAATGAGGTGAGCTGCCTTGATGAAAGGCTTACCTGTGGCTGTGCGTTGAGGTGAATCGTCAAGATCGTCGTCGCCGAGGAACTTGCTCGAGTGCAGTTCGGGCACACGGAGCTTTCGACGGGCGTGACGCCCACCCAGTCCAGCGGCCGTGCGGGTCACCACGTGACTCAGCGTCTTCTTCTCCTCCGGCAGTGGGATGCTCTGGCGGACGAGCATGAGACGTCCCATTCCCTCGATAATTATCTGTGGAAGTAAAACTGCTGGTTTCAGCCAAAAGCCACGACTTCCTCTTGCAATCCTATGAATTTTCTTCTCATTCCTTGGAGTTTCTGGTGGTCCGGGGTGATGGTGTATTGATCAAGCAAAGCGTTACCTTTTAACTCACATTTTTTTTTAATTCAACAAACTTAGATGAAATCGTCTCAACAGCAGAAAGGTTTTAGCCACACTGGGCAAAAAGGTGTTTGATTTAAAAAAGGAGCTTATCTTAAAAGTCTGTAGATAAAAGCCGATCTGTGTAAACAGCACAAGGTGTACATGGCAAAGATTATTTGAAGCAACAATCCACTCAGTGTAAATGAAGGTATATAAGTACCCAATCAGGGTTCGCACATGACATTTTAATGCACAGGTTAACATGTTTGCCATTTGAGGTCAGATTGATTCCAAAATTTCACTGATTTTCGAAGAATGATGAGAGTTTGGAGATAAAATTCCGACAGTGACTCAGTGTGCTCAAGCTACTTCCTATTTTTCACAATCTATAGAGACTTGAAGCAAATTTAAACATTTCTCATTGGACAGTTTTAATTAGAAAACAGAGCAAGCCTATTTGCTCGGAAGCCTGATGAAAACCTAAGGTAACTGAGTTGATAACTGCCAAGAAGACTTCACAGAAGTGGCTAGTTTAGCGCCCTTTTGGCACCGACTTGTAAAAGCACAACTACCAATTAGGAGTGATTGGCCAGTGCGTTCATTTTAAACTTACGCGATGTATTATGGCTGGAAGCGGACCATTCCTGGCTCCACGATAGTGAAAGTGAATGACGAGTGTGGCGAGGAATGTAGACAGAGTGATCATTATCATGTTGAGGCAGAAGTAGGCACCTGATTTGCACAGAAAATAACCACAAAATGATTTTTTTGCGTTCACGGTGAAAATTAACAGAGTTTCACGCACCAATGAGAGGAAATTCCTTGACAGCATTAGGTGTCTGACCGGCCAGTACGAGAAGTAACAGGAAGAATGTGACGAAGATGTTCATGCCTATAATTCAAAGTGAAAATAATGGTTGAAAGAAGCAGCATTCCGCCGTGATACTTTGACATCCGTACACCACCACACAGCAGAATGATTACTATGAACTATTGGTTTTCTGGGTTCTTGCAAACTTTTGAAGCACGATCCAGATTCACGACCCGTTCGAGGCGTGGAATATGAGGCAAATTTCATTCCCTCAGACGTTCTGCAGTATATCACACATGGGTGAATTTAAAGTTATCAATGGTGAGTTCCATTTAAAGCACAACCTTGATATGGTAATGTGCATTTCAGCTAGAAGCTTCCACAGTAAACGCCATCTCAGCACCGTTAAGACCTTAAAGTTTAGTGGCTCATTCCAAAAAAAGCAGAAATTTCGGGAAAAAAAAAACGTATACTTAAGTTGTAGTTGAGGACGAGTTTGTTTAAAATCAACCCTGAAAGAGCACGTTTATCTGTAATTCTAATGGAAAGAGTTTTTTTGCAAAATGGTGACCTTTATTTTCGTAGTAAAATGGCTTAACACACACGATTTTATTAAAAAACTGCCAACCGAAATTTACTACGAATTGGGCAACCTTTCTAACCACATAATACCTTATTTGTGACAAGACGCGCCAGGAAAGTGCTCAAAAACCGAACTACCGGAATCGGTTGTACGCGAATAAACTGGCAAATAATCGGACTTCACGTTTTGAATTCGTTAGTGGGTAGTGACTTCGATGTCCATTGTTTTAAGAGCAACTAGACGAAAGTGAACACCGTTGTAAACAGCTTATCGTTTAAAGTATTTACACCAGATTGTGAGTTCATACTTCCAGAGATTACCAGAAGACAATTTTCCGTGTTGGCGACCAAAATCGGAGCACACACTTTCCTTTAATCTCTCGATCCTCAAACCTTCAAACTGGCCCTCATCACGCACATTTACTACATCAAACACTGCTTTACACAATCGCCTCTCCCAAGGTGGTAGTCTGCGTCAAGGATGATTTCAGTTCCACTGGGAACTGAAATGGCGAACCAGGACCCAAATAATGCAATGAGGGTCAGTTGAAACGACATTCATTAACCGTTTGGAGACATGGCGCTTGACGAATTCTCTGGAAGTTCTAACAGGGCTTTAAACGCTGTCCAAGGTTAGGTAAATTCACTACATATTTCTGCATCTCAGTCACGTGACCTTCAAAAGGCAAGCACTTATTTTATTTAGAAACCCCTAAATGGGAAAGAAGCATTTTAGTACAACACAGGCGTACTCAGTGACAGCGATCGTGTGTGCACAGTTATTACCGGGCTTCGTTCACACCTCAAGTATTCAAGCGTAGGGTAGCAGATAGGGCTGAATTACACAATCACAGGTCCAGAAGTAAGCATTACGTGAATTAAAGTGATTCTACATGACTGGTTGTGAGGCATTTGACTATTTCCTTGCATTTTCTAGCTACCTTTGAATTGAACTTATTTCTCAAACCAATTCAATTTTGACAGAATCTAACTTGGTGGACTTGCGTTAATCACCACGTCGTGGTAGGTGAGGGGTTTTTTGTGGTCACTATGATTCTGCTATTGCTACCCTCGTAAATCATTCTTCAATCCTCATTATCACAAATGTTTAAGCAAATTTTAGCAGGCTGATGTAGCAGTTAATTTAAACAACAGCAATGACAAGCGACCCATTTAGGCCAAATATGGTTTGAGAGGAATTTTTTTCAAGACAGAAAAGTACAACAGATTGAAGAAAATAGCAAGATTTAACTAAATCAATCCAAATGGCTTATACAAGTACTATTAGAGAGGTGGACACGGAATTTCGCAATGGCAATCGTTCTGACCTCCCCAACTAAAGGCAAATATTATGTAAGAATCCGTAGGAGACACTAGTTCAAGGCTACTGAATGGGTAGCCTGATAGTCGACTAGTTGTTTCATTGTCCAATAAGTTGCTTAAACGTCTAGGGAGTAAAGCCAGCGAATTTTCCAAAATAGCCCTGTTAGGTTACGTATCTGATCTCCTTACTCCATGAGTGGGTCTGAACTAACTTTGGGCTAAAAACAGTCGTTAAAGTGAACGTATTAATGACTCATTAGAATTTAAATTTAATATCAATAGCTGCTCAAGTAAACAACTCTTAAATAACACTCATTGGCCATGAATAGCACATAATACTACTGCAGGTTGTGGTCAAATAATTGGATAAATTATTTTCATTTTTGGACGTAGTTGGTGGCATCAGTTACTGACTATTTCAGTTGGATAAATATAAGGACTACATGAACATGATAAGCATTCGAAAGTACAGAATATATGCCATACCACGAGTGCTGATTATAGCCAATAATGATTCTACGAAAGTAACACAAAAAGGCGGATATTAAAGGGTGACCTACCTAGCATCATCTTAGCCGGGGATTCGGGAGGAAGCCAAAAAACAACGATTGTCAGAGATGAGAGCAGAATGCACGGGACAACGAGGATGAATATGTAGAAGCTTGGATTTCGATGTAGACGCACACGGTAGCAGAGGACGGTGTACTGCTTCGTCGTGACCACATCTCCATCCGTCTGGTTGCGCTCCTGGTACCGTTTATAGGCTTTTATCTACGAAACAGAGCGAAGCATGTAGGGTGTAATGACTGTGCCACAACCCAAGTTAGCGTGAGGTACTGCGTAGACAGAATGGAATACCTGACCGTCTATCAGACCTGCAACGTGCTAGCCGCTTCCTGTCTGTGCTTATTTTATGTTGAAGTGAACTTGAAAATCATGATAGGCTGTACAAGCTGCTCTTACTACTGTTCTCACAACCTATTCAATCAATTTAAAGATGGTGCTGAGTAAAACCTGTGCGTGCGTCCCATAAAGGAATTTCTAGATAAACTAACCAATCATATAATTGGTGAATATCGACATACCTAATATGCGTTCTCCAACTTGACACACTCAATTAGCCTCAGAATTGAGCACAAAATTTGTAAGTGAAAAAAAAAACGGTACACAAGAGTGAATTTGCCGATGAGGAAAACTACAAACTGTCTCATTCTTAAGGGATGTGGGCAATATTCGCCTCCAGAGTTTGTTCTTTAGCAAAATTAACCAACAGAACTACGCACAGTCTAAAATAGCGACAGTAATGCTTTGTGTCCCCAGATTTTCTACCTGTTGAGTGTAAACACACCACGCCGGTGTTTAGAAATAACCATTTGAATGACTCAGTGCGTTTCACTGTCAACAAGCCCCGTTGGAGCTAAACTAGACGTGAGTGTAGCTAAATTTGTTTACCAACATGCTTACTTGAAGTAAGGAACTGGGACCAAAGACCTGCTCACGGCTTCTTCATTTGACGTAAACATATATGCGTTTACTAGGTAAATATTTTTGGCATTTATCTTGTCGCTGAACAAATAATTACATAAGTGCTTAGGTTAAAGTGGAGTTTTTCGTGCTGTGACAGTTACGCTTGTTTGAAAATGGAACCGATACGATACCGACACTCATCGGCCCGGGTCTGAATCCCGCCGATGTCATTTTGCACTTATATTCCTAAAGATGGCACGATTTACCGGAAATCAATTCTAGTAATTCTCTTTTATTTATAATGCCTTATCAGTAGTCGTAGATAAATGCATTTGAAAAAACCCAAGAACGGTTGAATTAAGATGTCACACTTCCATTTACAGCGATAAGCGAAGATTTGTTGATGCAAAAACACGAGTTTTTGGCTCCAAATTCGATTAGTGTTTTTGTGAGTTAAATAAATTTGTTTACATCACTCATTCTGAATTGTGAAACCTAATCCGTGGGTTTTGCATTGATGACTCCATAACTTCGTTAGATGAAACAGAAATTGCACCACAGAGATGAAAAAGTTTTACCTAGATTACAAACGCCCTCGACGTTATTCACAACTTGGCAATCGAGTAGATGAAATGAGCTAGCGCCAACTTCTACCGACGGCTACATTTGAGAAATGGTGTTTGTTAAAGTTCATGAACATTGGCTGGATCTTCAAAGTCCGTTTTCCTGGTGCGCGTTTAAGAACAGATGGTGTTGATGATTATTGCACCCACGCGTGATTGTCGCAGTATGGGTTAGTAGACTGTCAAACGCTTGCAGGAGCCTATATCTCAGACAGCTGTTTTTATGCCTCTCTGACAAGTCATTATGCAAAAAAGAGCATTAGACCTACTACGTAGTTGCTATCACGACCATATTTCCCTGATTTTTTTGTCTCAAGGAATCCATAGCAACAGGGGGATTGTTGGGTCGATTGTGGAAGCAGATCAAAGCTAAAGCAGCCAAGGTGAAGTCACCAGCATTCATTTGGGCATGTCGGGGCAATAACACCGCATTAAACAAAAATTACAGGATCAGAGAAAATCCTGGCTTCAAAAAGGGCGTTTCGACACTCAGCAGAACCGTAAAATGCGCTACCTGTCGTGATCAGATCTTAGGCAAAGTGACTAACCTGTTTTGTGCGATTGGTGTGCACAATATCCCGTTCTGTCTCGCCGTCTGTTCGCCATTCATTGCTGGGCACGTAGTCGACAAAGTCAACATAGGGGTTAGGGATGGGTGAACTTGTGGTCACCCACCAATCCAGTTCCATTTGTGTCCGGTCGTACGTCCAGGAGCCGAATTCGAGGTTGCATATCTGCCAAATAGATGCGAACGTCAATGTCGGTCAATTCATCGCTGCTCACAAAAGTGGAGTGGATGGGCTTAGACTCTTCGGTAAATCTTGTAAGAAAAGTAATCCCTTAGACAGAGTAATTGTCAAAACGGACAGAATACCTTGTGGTTATTTATAAAATCCCGTTAGCCGAGCACTCTAGTTACTAACAGCATGGCTTCGCGAGCTGCAGAACGGAGGTGGGGCCAAAATGGGCCCATATTATGCCCTCGGAAGCCGGGTGCCTAGTCCAAAGGCAATAAATCTTCTTGTCAAAAGTGTTCTGCGATTTGGCCGCGTTTTTGGCTTTCATGTGCGCCTACAATGTCGTGTCAAATACCTAAGGCTATCATAAGATAGGATTTTGTTTTAACAATTACTCCGCAGCTTCCGACACCACAGGTATGACCAGGCACAGGAAGCACGCCAGATGGCCATTCTGTCCGCTTAAATGGACATCTTAATGCATTTACGCTTCCCTTAACGAGCGAGCGTAAGTAGGCGAAGAGTGAATGAGAGCTTAGTGGCACACTACTGGTCTGAGTAATAGAAGTCAAGTGTCATTGGGTGGCTGCCTTTGGCTAGTGGCCCAAGGAAACTTAACTATCCAATCAGAAGGAGCGCGTTCACGCGGTAATTTGAATTATCCAATCACAGAAAGAAAGCAAACCACCACATTTTGTGATGCGACAAATTTGTTACAACAGTAAAGAGGGTTGCATCTGTGGCTTGCCTGGGTATCGAAGGGAAAGTAGGTGATTTCTACTTGGCAGGCGCTTTTGAAGAGGGCTTGTGGAACCCACAAAATGCTTCCATCACTGTGGACCACGACTCGGGCTATTCTGTGCTCCCTAATCCGCTCGTCAGCGCTGAAAAAATTAAGCAGAGGGACTACCGGGGTCGTGTAATATTAGTTTTTAAAAAAAAACAAAAAAATTATTGTTGGCTCCAGAATGTAATTAGTGCTTTGAAAAGTAAAGTCACACCGCTCACAATTGCTGATATTCTAGTTAACAAATTAACCATAAAGCATCTGAATCAAATGCCCGACGGGTTTCATTCAGAGTTTCAAAATGCGCAATAATCAGAAGAAATTGCTCTAAACTAGTTGTACCTACCACACTGTACCACTTACAAGTTGAATAATTGGATATCTGGAGTCCAAATCTGCGATGGAAAGATTCGAACTTCGGTGACATTCCCGTGTTCCGCGGGGTTCCATTGCAGAAGGGTGTCGTTCCATCGCTGATTAAGGCAAGCAGTAGATTGATTTAAGTGCTCTTTCACTGAATAATCACGCACTGTGCGCTATCTTACTGAAATAAGACTGACGTTATTTTACAGTGCCACAGTAATACTCGTAATTATGGCGCTTGTTAGTGGCCAGTTTAGTGTTTTTTTTTAAATTTCCCCAAAAATAATCATGTTTTTGTTTTAACTTCCATTTGTACCAATCAATGAATTTAATAACTGTGACCACTGTGTTAATTTATGACAACATCTTCCGGAAATTTGTCCAGTTGCCAAGCAGAATATGCAGGACCTGAATCTTCTCCAAAATCGTTAAATGTCAATACAGGTTGGAAACTTTACTCTTTAAAAAATACGCAAAACCAAAATTAATAGCTAAAATTCTTTTAGAAAATTAAACAACGGACATTACGGGAATAGCATGAACTTCGGAAGGAAAGCTAATTAAATTAGACCACTCAAATCGCAAAAAATAATGTGACGGCGAGGGTATAGGCACATGTTTATACTGTAAAAGAGAAATTTGAAACACACGTGAGAGCCACATGCTACTTACATACATCGACCAGCAGTTAGTGTGCAGGATTTGTTTGTTTTCATCCAGGTCAAGAATTTGAATGAGTTGGAGGCCATAGTTGACCTTGAGGACAATTTTGTTGTCACTCACTGGTCGACCGATCACGCCGAAACGGCGGTATCGTTCTATCAGCATCCGGATAAGGGCCTTCTCCACTGACTTCGTCTTATTTACTTGAAAGTAAAGCCATGATAAGTTAGCCTACCAGCGACGATAGACATAGTAAAGTTAAAGCGGCCAGGTCGATTGAAGTGAACATTCAAACTCCTCTGTCACCTCCGTGCTTGCGATTCAGGGCAGCAAATTGTCACTAATTGTTTGTGCCGAATAGCTCCATCACAAATTGATGAGAAATCCTAGCTTTCTTACAATTAAAAGCTAACCATTGCACTTGTGACGGTGGTTTAAAAACTACGAACTACGAAATCCATGTACCAATATGCATCTTTAAAAGATTATGTTCAAACTTCGATGATTATCGATCACTGTACCGTTTAACGTAAGAGCCAACTCTGCTAAGTGATTCGATATCAAGGTTTGTTTAAAAAGGGTATATTGTATTTATCACTAGTTCTAGTGTTAGGTAGGTAAGGCTAGAGTCACGTGATTAGCGGTCAAGCAAATTACTTTTAAACGGATTTTCCAAAATCTCGGGTTTATTGGTCGATGCTTAAAGAGATAAATTACGCACAAGTTATCCATCGAACCAATCAAAACTCTTGAAAACGTTTGGTAAAAATGCTACTTGCTTTTCGGGTGTCCCTTTGGCGCAGGCCCAGGATGTCCATTTGAGGCGAGTAGGATGATAAAGAAGAGCAAAAGAATCGGATGACGCTTCATTTACGCAGGACCCTGGCCAGCATCGAAACAGGCAGGTGAGAAGAATGCTGCGAAGTGGCCACTGTAGGTCCCGAAAAAGCCATTTTCAACGTAGTGACGTGATTGGGCAGCGGTAAGGTTCTTTGATTGGCTCTGGCACAACATCGATTGTCCCTATTTCGCGCTGCAAATAACATGGCGACTGGATTTGAATTTCACTACACAATTTTGTCAGCAGCTTAAAGGGACTGTCCCTCATTAATTTCCAAAAATATATATTCAAATTCTGAACAGGATTATTCTGTAGAAATCCCAATTATTTGTGGTAAGTTTGCAGGTTTTAGATGAACAGGCAACCTTTTCGTCTTTTTATTAGCTTCAAAGAATTTGTAACCACAAAACTGATTCAGAAAAAACCTTGCCGGTCTTGTATCAATTTTACTCTTGGCTTGTTCTTACAACAAATCTCGATAAGTTGCAATGAAAAAAGTGCTTATAAGATGCTAAATGAATCTTGTCCATATTACCAACAACTAGGTGAGGAAGATTACTTCTGAGATAACACCAGACATCGCCGGGTGACTCACACATTTTACCAAGTCTGTAGCGACGCTTGTCGTGAAACGAAAGTAATCATATAGAACATAGAAAATACTCTAAACATGCTGGAATGGAAGTTTGTCAGAGAGCAGAATCGTTTCTATTATTAAAATTAACGAATATTACTTGTAGTTGGCTAGTTTGAAAATCGGGCCTCGCTCCAACGCCTAAATTGTTTCGATGAAGAAGATATCCCAGTAGAAATTAAGCGACAAGGGAGTGTTATTAACTAGTCAAGTTTCTGACTCGTATTTGCCATCCACGGCTTAAATCAACAGGGGAATATCTTCACTCACGCCTCTGTGCGGCATGATTTATGTAGATACATTCTAAGGAAAAGCCATCATTCGCAAATAACATGTACTAACTGACGTAAAGTAGTAGTAGTAAGGTGTTAAAAATACTCAAGTAAAACCATGAGATCATTACTTGCTGAAAACTTGCTCCGATTGCGTGAAATCGTGTCTGTGGCGGGCGATTGTCAATCCTATTACTTCCACTGCAACTAATTTAGTGCACCTTAGCGTAGTCTTTCAGAATTGTGTGTAATTCACTACTAAACAACAACAAACGGATTTCGAGCCTGTTCCATTAACGTGTTGCTGCAAATTAGTGAACACATGAGCATAACAAAAACGCAGGCAGACGACATTACGCCAGAGTAGAAACTTCACAGTCATGGCGAACGTATGGAAGTCAGGAAGAGCTGACGAAGTCATCCACACAGTACTACCTGTGACGATCATTGACAGGTCTTTTTTGCACCCGTAATATTGTTACAGTTGAACTTCCTACCACCTATCATTTGTCGTAGAAAAATACTTGGCTATCCCTGACAATGTCATTCAGTGACAGTTGACAGGCATTACGGAAACTCTACAACCACTTTCGGACGACACCAAAAGAATCCATTTGGGATATTCTTCAACAAAACCCAGTGCGTTGTGGCTTGCGTTCATTGGTTTGAATGTTTGGCTTGGCAATGTACATGGACATTTAGTCATGCTGACCACCTCAATAAGCAATTGAAACTTCACTGTCTATGGTCCACCTGTTTTCCACTGAATACTTGGGTCGCCTCTTGTCTAATGCAAATAGGTACGCCCGACGTGAGATCAATTCACATGTCAACGTGCTCTACAAGAAAAGAACCTGACGTTAGGCAAGTTCTGCTTTCTGCGTGGTGGCAGTCGGCACCGCGGCAAAATAAAAGGTCAACCTATGAACCACGGATGACGTTATTTCCTCATGAATTAGACTCACGTGACGCAACTCACTCCCATGGGTGAACTTAGACTTGTCACTTGACCCCTTAATCTGGCTCAACATGATCCAACTTGATTCTCACTTGGCGACCATTACAGGCACGTGGGTGTATTGACGACAAGATATTTCAGCCTTGAACAAAAGGCCACTCTTGAATCAAAACAGCCGAGATCTTTCTGTTCCACAGGATGCAACTTAAGTTAAACTAGGGCGGCGCATCCGGTTATTGAAATAACCAACTCTGAGCTGCTGATGCTACCTTCCAAGGTACCAGCATAGTGAATTCTGAGAATTTTACTGGTAAAATGGTAGTCGCTCGTTTTAATTTGCTTTAATCACAAATGGTGCGTGTTCAACAGAGGAAAGATGGAGAGCTCTCTACGAACTCTTATTACTTTGCCAGGGATTTCAGACTTTGTAAAGCGGCATCTGCAATGTACATTGCACGATGAGGTCATTGTGAGGCGTAAATCAGTAGGTAGCAAACGCCTCCTGAATGCTACAATGGTCACAGGGTACGGGGTGTGGTGATGTACATCAGAGATTTGAAAAAAAATCGAGATTTCAAGTACAATTAACATGGTGTCAATAATTAACTGATTAACTCTTGCATTTTTAATAATGGCATCTACACTGGGCACTGACTTCACAATGGAAAATGTTGTTGAATGGATTACGAAAACATGCGTTGCACTTTGAATGACAGTAAACTCAATCACTTCCCATTGATTTGAGAAATTTCATGTCCGTTTCAACTTCTACCATTGTAGTCTGGAAGTAGCAGTTTGAGCGACGTCTGAAATCTACTTGAGATGGAGTGGTGAACCGTTCGATGTGATGCCTCATCAAATATACAACTAAAGGCAAAAAGGAGGCATGTGGCATGACGATGATTAGAGGGCTTTGAGCACACCACTCTGACAAGCCCTGGACATTACCTTAAAACAGTGGCCCGTTAATCTTGGGGGGACCTCAAATCCCCAGGACAATGTGTCATTGGTTGGGCTGAAAGTAAACTTTGCATGCGTTGCACCCTACGTACGCAGATAACCGGGGCAGGGCTTGTACAATTAAAATAATGTGGCCTGCTAAGCATTCAAGGTTTGAGTGTGTGAGTGGCACAGGATAGCTAAGGACCCTAAACCAATTCATTTCCTAGGAAACGACACGATCGTCACTTGTTGATGGGACTTGCTCACCTACGAACGTACTATCCTGCATAGGTACAGTGCATTCCAAGGAACTGCACATCAAATTGATTTATTGTTGGAAAATCAATGCTTCTGAACAGAACTTTTGGGCGTTATATGCATTCATTTGATAAATAGTAAACAACAAATCATCGACCTTTTATCTCTGCGCGTTTGTTTGTGCCTTTTCTGACAATGTAAGCATCCACTCGGCTTTTAAATTTTTCTATTAGATTATAGCACCGCCAGAAACTCGGCATTACTCTTTTGATCCTGCACGTTCATCACTCTCGATTCTTGTTCGAGTTCGCGTCTGCTATAATTAAGGTGGTCGTCAGGATAAAAGACACCTTGACATGTCTCTTTAGCTGCAACTGCCCACGCAGAATAACTCAGACCCACATATGTGCTGCCTACATACTAATGTATCAGTGGTTCTGTGTACTAATAACTGCAGATGCAAGTACCATCACTGGAATTAACATTCTACCCAAAGCGGTGTAATAGCCTCCGTGTACGGATTCTGTTCTTGGCACTCCCAAGCACACACAACTCGAGGTGCGCGCTCACAGGTGTGAATATCACTTCCCACATTATCTGTTTGTCTCATCAAACCACAATGCCAGTCCTACCAATGGAGTGTGATGCTACCAAGGTTGTAATTCAAGAACTGATGTTTGCAGTCAGTGCAGTGGTTAGTTTGCACGAAGATTGCGAAAGGCGTAGGAAATATAAGCGCAGAAGAAAGAATGTGTGTATTCTTGTTCGGTGTATCTACAGGGTGTCATGATATGCCTTAAAAAGTAAAGTGTATTCTATGAATTAATTGGTTCAAGTTGTTGGGGAATAGGCTGGAGGTTGCATGCAATACGTTTTACACCGACAAAGGACGTGAATTCAACCTGGGTTACTACAACTATTCAAGGGCGTATAACGAGCATTTGTGCCCATTACTTTCAGCGCCTGAGCATCCCAGCTCCATGTGGACTATTTCCACTCACCAAAGCTGATTTAATCTAGAATTATCACACTCACTGGTACCACCAAGTAGCATGCATATTTTAGGGTGACATGCTGAATAAGGTTAGTTGCTGCCTGTTTCTGCTCCATTACCCTCATCCTCACTGATGATAGCATCCACCTAACAGTGCGATCCATTTCACAAAACGTTTTCCATTCTTATGATCGAGTACTCTTGTTAAAAAAAGACTAGCCACTTGTTATCGAATGAAAAGGCTGAATGTGATGTCGACAATATGTTTGAATGGAGAGAGGAGGAATAGACACATGTGCACATCTTTCCGCAGTTTATTTTGATATTTTGCAGATCGCCAAGTTGGGCTCTTCCATATCGACAATCACATTTAGGATCTCTCGTGAGTCGCATTTTGTGGACGGTGAAGTCCACCATGTCTCTGGAATGACTGAAACACCTGGAGTGTGTACAAGTGGCATATGGACCATCGTTTGACGTGAAGGCATCTGTGAATCATGATGAATTCCAACCGGTCGTGCCCCACAATTAAGAGACATCTTCAATGTGACGTTGGGCTACGACACAGGCATAAAGCTTGAAAACTATCTCAGCCTAAGTCAAAGATCGCAGACAGTGACTCAGCAGAGAAGCATTCTGAAGAACCTGATGTTCGACACATTTTGACCACGCGCATTGACAGGTGTCTCATTGAGACATTTCGACATTGATGATGTGGTAGCTGTCATTTCCGGGCAGAAGCTGACTAGAACGACGGTGACGACTTCGGTGATTTCGAGTCGACTTAAAGCAGCACGACGTATTCTTCAAGGGGCGAAAGTGATGGGGTACTCGGCAATTCCTACGATAACTCATAGTTAACATTTAATCGATTGCGACAGTGACCTCATTTTGAAGGCATCACTACCCCATTAACCATAATCTGGATTATTGTTCTCAAGTCATCGATCGACATCGTCTGCAGCATAGGCGTTATTCTTTGGTTGTCCTTGGGTCATCAAAAATTGACTTTGATATCACATTCTAAAAGCCTATTTGTTATGGTGATCGTCACAAACTGACTTCTTTACACAACTGTGAAGTTTATCGAATGGAAAAGCGACACTGCACACCTCGCTATGTGGATTTATTGTTATGAAAATGATTAAAACTAAAGTGCTGCATTAGTAGCCACTGTAAACGCGTGTCAAATGACCTGAATGTACCAAGCAACGATTCTCAATAAGGATATCCAAAGAAGGGGGAATGGTCTTTCTGAAGTTTCCACTGATATAAGTGGTAAGTACGACTAATTTCCCCTATGGCACTGAAGCGTTCAATGCGCTTTTTAGAATGGAGCAATTTAGCAACACACGACCGCAATTTACCTAGGAACGCTTGTAGTAGCTTGAGTTTAGTACTAAATTCCAACCCTCTAGTTAGTACCCCGTAACAACGCAAAAATGGAGTGAAGAGAGGCGACAGTGGACACGATCGTTTATTAGCACATGTCAGCCAAGTGTGCGACTTGATGTGTGGATGAGTGAACGGATGACTGGTATCTGATAATAGTAACCAATGTAAAGGTGATGAGTCATTGCCACCACAGGTCAATAAACAAGGTCCACTCAGGCGCGATCGCTGTTAATCAACTACAGATATTCCCCTCCCCCTCACAAGACTGCAGTTTACCTAGGAACGCTTGACATGAGATCTCTGAACAGAGGCAAATGCGCGAAATGGATGCTAGAATATCGACTGAGTTCATGTTGTGCCCTAGTTAGGTTTGAACATCAGCAAATAGTTCCAGTAGAACGAAGGTGAATAGGGTTCTGCATTAGGCTGTGGATGAGTTAGATTCAAGATTGCAATGAGATTGATATCTCACTTCGAACTCAATATTCGCCAACGCCTACCCTCGCACTCATGCGTGTGGTGATTGAAACAGCATGCTAAATTGGAGCATGCCACAAACGACTAGCTATTGCTTGGAACTCAGGCGTACTGATTGGAGCTGAGTAGGACTGCTGTGTCGAATGCAGTCATTGAGTTGAACCACTGTGAGCTCCCATCACACTCATTAACGCCAATTCCGTAAACTGATTGCCTTAATTAGCCAACTCCGAAACAGTACAAACCATTTTTACGTGCTGGTGGAAATACGTGACTCTGTAGCGTTGTGCATGGAAGTGGTGAATTTGCTACTTGGCAAAGGTGAACGAAATTGCCACAAACCAGCATATATACATATATTATGCACGCATTTAAAAGCGCCCCATTGCTCAACACATCTTTCCATGTAGTTTTCACATGCGCAGATCAACGTCTTTGTAGTTATCACGAAACCGTCGGTGGAGCAGCTTTAAATCGTGGATCTCCTTGTATGCATGCGGTCTCGAACCCGAACAGTTAGTTGGGAAACGAAAACGCCCCGCAGATGCGGCGTCCAATGCTAACGGGCACTTGAACCACAGATTAGTTCTTTCCTATTCGTTAACAAGTGTGCCATTTTTGATTGACTCAAAAGCTGACATATCTGTGATCCCTCTAGGCCCTTTTTAACAATCGAGCCAATAACCCCTTCCTGATTTTCAAAGCACCTAATGACTCGTCAATTTCTACTTACGGACGGAAATCCCCCACACTCAACTTAGGACTTCGGTGACACAGCTGTAACCCACTCTATCATTGGAGGTGACTTCCTTGGACACTTTGGTCTACACGTAGACCTCAAGAACTAGCGCTTAGTGGACCCTCTAACGCGCCCATTCGTGCAATCGTCGGCGACATTTACACGGATGTGAAACGTTCTCTCGTACCTCAGCTGATGCGATGCCATTTGAGTGTTTCAAGCACTTCCACCATCACGGTCAAAACGTTCTTCCATCCATTGCAACCAGTTAAGTGGCTCATGAGTTTAGACAGATCTATACGGTGACGTGTATCGCACTCATCACCCTGCCAACATCGCCTTGTTTACAAGTAGTTTGTTGGTAAACACTTACTTACAGCCCCCAAGCTGTCCTTCTTTTCGCTTCTATTTACGTCCACGTGCTATTCGGCGATGCATGTTACCGTCGAAATGCACAAGCCATGCTATGTGGGTCTGGCAATGGCATAATATTAAACTATGAAAGACACGGTACACAAGTAGAAAGCAGATATCAGTGTGTTGGCGTGTGTGAAAAATAGCGCGATTCATGAGCACAAGGCGAGGGAGAACGTGGTGGAGGAGGAGGGGAATGGAGGCAAAGGTGGCGGCGGTGGAGTCGGCGGCGGTAGTGGCGTTGGTGGTGGGGGAGAATGAGGTGGAGGAGTAGGAGACATGACTACACTACATGTCGTCTGAGATGTAGAGGGAAGACGTATTCAACGCAACTCGATTTATAGCCACATGAGCATCGCGCATCAGTGTCTCAAGGGCCTCGTAACCAAGGTGATGACGTGCCTTACGAGCCTGTTGCAGGAACTCACCAAGGCGTTTGAAGGCTCTGAGCAGATGGCCTTCGTCGGCGCCAGATTTTTCTGCCACGACTGACAACGAATTACCACGAGCCCAGGCATAGGTGGCTTCCACAAGCCCCGGATTCACATGAAGTCGATGCCACCATCATCCACGCCTGTCCGTGCCGAGAAATATTTCAGCTGCAAGACATCAGGCATTTATGAGTTTCTGCACTACGTGCGTGAAAGAAGTGACTGCAATGAAAGAAGTGAAGACCACGCGTGTGTGTGTGCACCAATTAGTCCTGTCACATAGCACACGAGACCGTAACTGGCAGGCACGCGTTCCCAATGAAGTGACGAGGTTTCTACAGTTGAGTGTCAAACTAGCACTGAAAACCGGTATTTCACAAGTTTAAGCATCGCCAGTCACCCCCTGCCATGGCATCTGCCAACACATGCCTGCCTCACTCGCCAGCTGCAGCATTCGCTCTACGACCGCCTGCAGCCTAGCAGCAACAAATGGCCTGCGCCCCTCACATTGGTTATCGCAAACAAAGCAGGAGAGCAGGGTGGCTGCTTCGGCGGGTGTTTGGTGATTCAGCAATCCACGGCAGAGCGCCTCGCACAACAGCACCTCTCTTTGGTCGATTTCGCAAGCTGCCAAGCCTAAAGCACAGAAAACACCACAAATGCTCACTAAAGCAGTGAACGTCCAACGTCACGCGCAGCACAGCGCAGATATTCTCAAATAATGCAAAGCGATGCCTACACCAATGCCTGCGAAATGTGGCATTAAGTGAATCTTGACACGTGGTACATGGCACATGCCAAGTTGTGTTCACATGAGATGCAAGGGCATAACACGAGTTTGCATTTGACGAGATGACATGTCTGACTACCTGACGCACTGTTTTGCATTACCCTATGCTTGCAACCATTCTTGAAATGTGAACACAAGCTTCGTACTCACTTCACGAGAGTCGGAAACACCGATTCGCTGCTGCCATTATTTAACACTTAGACTAATCCACGGCTGATTTGGTCACACTACTTTT